TCGCGGGACGTGGTGGTACTTAGAAAAGGAGGTTAAATTCAGATAGGTTATAGACCGTAAACATTCTGGGAGCTTTACACGTAGGACGGGATGTAAACAGATAATGGGGCTGGACTGTGACGATAGAGAGTGGTAAATATCCCAGGAGTGGCGGGGGGGGGGGGGGGTGACTCGATGCAACGCTGTAAGGATAGTCTTCTCTTTTTTTTGCCGAACTGGGTCAAATTTCTCCGTCTTCACGGTCTATCTTTTTATTTTTCTCTCTCTCTCTCCCTCGTTCTCTCTCCCTCACCCTTCCCAACTCTCTCTCTCTCTGTCATTCTTTCTCTCTCTTTCTCTATCTCTTTCACGTCTGTAATATCCTGCAAGCGTGATCCAAACACTGTAGCTAGACTCTCACCGGTAGATTACTTTTCTTCTCTTCTCCTATCATTTTTGAAGGATTTGTTGCTCTTTATCCGCCCAATTAGGGCATCTTTATCAAGGTGTTGTATTAAAGATTTTGAGTATGACGTAGGAAAGTACAAGTACTAACTTGAGTCATTTAAACACTTTCACACCCCTCCTTTTGAACAGAATTTGAATCTTATCCCCCACCAAAGATACCTTTTCAGAGATTCACCCATCTCACATTTAAAAATCTTTTCTTCTTCTGTATGAGGCAGCAAATGTCTTGGATAATTCAATCTATAGTTGTTGTACTACCCCCTTTCAAGTTCCTTTTCTATTTTTATCATAAATAACAATAATAAATAATAAACATCTTCTAGAAAAATTCCTGGTAGAGCTATCGTAGAGATTTTTTTAAATGGAATTACTTTACCAAGTCACGTTGTATACGAATAATTTCAAGGTAGAGAGGTTGACGGTTGAGTGGCACTTCCTTGAAAAAATAAAGGGGCACTTGCCATCATCAACAAAGACAAATATTTGGTCTCTTTTCTGCTCTGAAAGCACTCTAATTCTAAGGCGTAGAAAACCCAATCAAACAAAGAAAAGGAAAACAGTTACAAAAGAAAAGAAGTTTGCTTTACTCATTCATGTGAACGTGATGAAAACGCGGGAAGTCGTCCTTCATTTATATAGATTGCACTTCCTTTTCATTGCCATACGTGAAGGGTTTTTATACTTATTAAAACGGATGTTTGTGTTTGCTGTTTATCTTCACCGGAATTTGAAAGACATTTTGATTTCGAAGCTGCAAACTATGTAGTTTGTGAGTCCCGGGTGTGAGTTCGGAATATAAAGATTTTCATCATGCTATTGTCCACATTTTCTATAACCAACAAGAAACACATTAAAGGTAATACAAAGTTTTGGGAAATTTTGAAAATTGGGTGGATAGTCATTCTATACAATTTTGATATATTTGGATGCCCCTTTGGATGTATTATAAGCACTAGAAAGTTTAGTCCCTAAAACACTTCTGCTTTCGAGATAAATTGAATATAAAAAATTTACCGGTGCTCCCGGTAAATTGTGATGAATTTCAAAAAGCGCCTACAGCCGTACAAATGGTAGCTGCGACCATGAAAATCTCAGAATATGTAGTTGTGATGTATAATTTTCAAACGGGAATAGCTAATCGGTCAATTTTAGTCGAAAAACATTGTTTTATAGCTTAATTAATATCTTGACCTTGAGAGGAAGCTATACAACATAAAGAGTGTATTGTGTTATTTTCATAACTTTAGACTCGATTTCAACCGCGACAACGATCGCTGAATATTGTAGGATCGCATAATGCTTCCAATATGTTCATTTGAACCAAATTCATGACTTTATACCAAAACTTTGTAATACCTTTAATATTACGCTTCTTTTATTCGCAAATCATTTTCTTTACCCCCAAAAATACCGCGTGAAAATATTCTGTGCGAGCCATTTGTCGTGAAACCGCATAAAATATCACATAACAAACGAGGCCTGTTTAGTTGAGGAATGTTTTCGAAGTAATTGTACTAAAGTTTAATGGGTCACATGAAGCGATAAAAATGGTACATCGAGAGCTAGAAGGATGAAGGATACAATTTGTTTTACCCGACCTTTAAGAAAGTATGTGTTTGCTTATAATTATGTAAGCAACCAGTGGACCGACGGCTTTGTCCTTTCCGAAGGGACTTAGTAACGAGGATTAATGCCTTACCAAAGGGCGCTAGCACATCGACTTGGTTTTGAATCCGGGATCTCCCGGTTATGAGACCACTGCTCTACCACTGAGCCATCGTGTCTTCTTTATTTGACTAGTTCATGTCACAAGAATCTATAAAGCTGGGATTAAATCGGCATGTTCTAGACCTTCTGCCAATTATAGCGTCCTAGTCGCTGATTCAACACTACATGTATTTCCCCGTGATCATCGTCGAATCTAAAGATTGATTGGTCATTATCGTTATTGCTTTATTTCGACACTAAAAGAAATCTACTAATTACATTTCAAAATCTACCACCCATAACTACAGCGCATTGCACTTTTAGGTTCATGAACCCAAATTCAACCTTCATTCGCCTGCAACGTTGCTTTGTGCGAAAACAGAGAATGTTGAGAATCCAAGCAACCGAACTCGCAAACAAGAAGCTTAATGATTTTTTTGTATAATTAAGATCACTGAAGTAAATTTTGGCTGCTGAGAGCCAGAAGGGTGTTAACGCTCATCAATTTTGCACAACAAAATTAATTAAATTATCCCTAATGGACATTTTTTTTTTACACCGATAAGATAAATACCACTCCGTTCTCGACTCAACCATCACAAACACAACCAAATACTAAACTCATATACACAGCGGCCTCAGATATATCAATCAATAATTTTCTTTATTAATATAGAACCTCTATACCTTTTTATCTTATCAAAACATCAGAAGCTATTCAAGACACATTAAGAAGAAATCAAGCTAGGCTATGAAAAGAATGGCAAAGAATGAAATTAAAAGGCAAATTCGCAAATCGAGTAGCATGGTAGTGTCATAATAGTCGAGGAATGCCAGGGTAGAAAGATACGCCAGGCAAAGTATGATATAATAAATTGCTGAATGCCATCAGCTTTCTTTTCGTAGTAAATGTCATGAAAATTTTCAGTTCTTTACAAATAATCTCAATTTCTATGAGCACTTAAAATACCTTAAGTCTGAGCTTAGCTACATTCTCCAAGAAAATTCTATAAGAGCATTTTATTCCACGCGTAAATACCAAGGTGCTATAGTATATCCAATCGGTTTATGTCGGATTTTGTTATTGAATAGTTCTTTTACTAACAAATAAAGGGAGAAAAAATGCATAGCTGTGATCGGAAAGTCTTAATTGAAATATGAAATATATCTTTGGTATTAGTGCGGAGATTGCAGGAATTAACCACCCACATCTTATGTATGGAATAGAAATACAAAGTGCTAATGAAATGAAGGAGATTAATAGGTACCAACACAAATAGAGAAGAGAAGGAGAGAGAGAGAGAGAGATAATGAGAGAGAGAGAGAGAGAGAGAGAGAGAGAGAGAGAGAAAGAAAGAAAGAAAGAAAAAGAAGAAAAAAAAGAGAGAAAGAAAAAAAAGAGAAAGAAGAGAGAGAAAGCAGAGAGAGAAAGAAGAGAGAGAAAGCAGAGAGAGAAAGAAGAGAGAGAAAGCAGAGAGAGAAAGAAGAGAGAGAAAGCAGAGAGAGAAAGCAGAGAGAAAGAGAGAGAAGAGAGAGAAAGAGAGAGAGAAAAAGAGAGAGAGAAAAAAGAGAGAGAGAGAGAGAGGACGATAGGATTTATGCGAGGAGATATTGATTATATAATTTATGTTTGGAGCCAGAAGGGCATTAACTCATACCTTTTAACACAGAGTTAACACCTTCTGGCCCTGAACAGACAATAATTATACAAACACATCAGCACCATACATCCTGATGCAAGAGAACAATGGATGATAGCAGCATAAACATAAAGAAACAAATGTGAATTCATGAAACAAACTAGCATTAACAAAAAACAGATTGCATCTGAACAAGGACAGGTTCACTTGCTACTGGAATAGAATTTGTGAACATTTCACCTCTACACAACCAGACCTAAACATAAATCATTTATACCGATATGACTAAATATAAAAATTGCCCTTTTGTCTCAATTTCGAACTCTTCTATACACATCTTTCTATCCTCTTTGCTATACATGGAATCATATACATATTGCATTTCGAGAAAATAGAATGGCCCAAGATTTTTGTACATTTGTACAACATTGGTATAATAATCATCTTTTCAAACAATTTGATTCTCTCTGTAATGATATAAAGTCTAGTATGAGTAAAAGAAAGAACAGAGTATACAATTAATAGTTTTGAAAAACTCATCTGATTCAGATGATCTCATTTCAGAAACTTGGATATTTACATGTTTTAACTTCTCTCTTTTTTCATAGTTAAGCTCATGATTATAAAATGCTTATAATTATATCCAATAACTGAAAATATATTGCTGATACCTTGAGATACACATTCACTGTTTATATAAATAATATAATTTTATTTGGATTACTTTTAATCGAAAAGTAAATACAAGCATATCAGCAATCTTTTCTAAATTACATCAAATCTTTCCTACAAATAGGAAGCTAAGCTTTGCAATAATATGAAAAAAAATGTACTAACTGTACAAATAGTAAATATTGTATCATATCAAGCACAATGTCATAAACATAAGTAATACAATTTTATATAAAATGGTCATTTTAAAAGGTTCAAGAAAATCATAGGTCTCTTCATGTACGGAACATAATTTGTCAAAGATGATATAATATTTGTATAGGTATCATAATCTTATATCATCAGCATTTCAACAACATATGACCTTCATTAATGTTATAACAGTCAAGGGCAACACACTGGAAATTTAAAAAAACTGAGCATTCTAAATCAGACACAATGGCCTCATCCTTTCTAAGTAGCGATTGGTATTACATGAGCACTCATCAACTGTCATTACAATTATTCATGATTTCCAAGGTGAAAGTAGACACATTTTTTTTGTCTCTGTGCACAGCTCGTCAAATCAATTCCTAATATCGGGATCCTGGCAATCACAGCACATTGTATGCACAGTTGAAGCGTAATTAAAAGCACACACGTACATATGGAATGAGTTGCATACAAGCAGAATAGATGAAGAGTGTTACCGATGATATAATATATGAATGCAAGGCTGTGGGTCTTTAAGTATTGATCGCATTCAGTGGATCGTCAAATATATTTGGAGCATCGGTATCGAATATGGAATCTGAGGCCTCCTTTGTTGTCTTCTTCTTGGCTTTCGTCTTTTTGGGCTTACTGGAAGGCGAGGGGTCGGCAAAGATGTCATCTGTTAGGAAAATTATTTAACAAAGTGAGGAAAAGAGAAGGAATTTTTAGTGTAAGGAATCACTGAAAATATTGTGGTTGTCATCACTAGATATATCTTCTCTTTCCATCATGTCCAAGGTGCTTAAATTTTCACTTCTGACAATCAATGATTGAAGAATGTATTGGGTGGTATCACTGCACACATCTTACCCATTAAATGTTTCTTCTTGGTGTAAATTCATAATTTTTTTAAGAGCAAAATTATAGTTATTCATGACTTTACTTAGTTCATATCATAGAGTAAATATTATTCAAACATAATGAAAACCTGGGTGAGTACAAATACCATCATATAAAATAATTAAGCAGTATTCTATTGAGTATATTACCGCCTTCCTATTAAAAACAAAAGACAACACAAACAAAAACAAACGAACATGATATAAAAAAGAAGATATGCATATCAGTCTTTGTAAAATACATTATGATCGTTGATTCCAAGCAATAGATAAAAAGTCACAATAAAAAGAAGGAAAAAAATGAGAGTAAAATTGCAGACTGAGAAGGAAACCTAAAAAATGTGAGTTATTTGATGATGCCTGCTTGCAAACTATTGGGGTTGATTTTCTTTTGGAATGGAAAAACCCTCATTTTTATTTCACCTTTACAACCCCTTAGATAATGCACCAATGCACCTCCATAATAAATAACAAAATTCATTAAACGCCCAACCACACTGGCATTTATTAGTTCTTTTATCAGTCATTTTGAAACTTGAATGTAATGCATTCATTACTTATCAAGTAGCCATCTTTTCTTTGTGGAGAAAAACATATTTATCACATTTTTAGCTTTGCAAAAAGCCTCCAAATGCCTACCCACATCTGCATTTATTGGTCCTTTTATGAGTCATTTTGAAACAAGACTGTAATGCTTTCATTAATTAACAACTAACCATTTTTTCTTTGTGAAGAATAACATTATTTATCAAACTTTTAGCTTTGCAAAAAGCCTCCAAATGCTCTTTGACAAACAGACCGCAACATATTTATGTATTCTCCGCGGGGGACATGCTTTTAAAGAGAAGAGAAGCGAAAAGAGGGTGACATTTTGGCAGCAACTGGAGCAGAGCTCTCAAGTATCTAAGGAGAGAATAACCGGTGTGTTGTTTGCTGACAAGCGATGCTTGATAGGCTTTCAAGTCGTGAATAAGAGTTATTTTGGAGCAGTTTATAGCCCTCCTTGGGATAGAGCTAGACACGCTTAAATGTTGAAGGGGAAGGGGGCAGGGTGCTGATCAATATTGCAAGATATGTATTCTCTCTTGAATGCACTGAGGGAAGCTAATGAGAGATGAGATCTACAGAGAAAAGAAGAGAGAGAGAGAGAGAGATGGAGAAGAGAGAGAGGGATAAAGAGATGGAGAGAGAGAGATGGAGGGAGGGAGAGAAAAGAAGAGAGAGATGGAGAGAGAGAGAGAGAGAGAGAGAGAGAGAGAGGTCAAATTCACAAGAGGCAAGGAAATGGAAGGAGAAGAATGTGACAAGAGATATTACAGCAGAGATACAGTGTGAAAGAAAGAGAGAGAGGAAGAAAAATAAAGAGAAAAAAATCATACTGGAGAGATGATTATGTAACAAAAGAGAAAAATACAGAAAAAGTGAAAGAAAACATACTTCTACATGTATATGGAATAGCTTTCAAGAAAATAAGAACAAATAATACTCAATAATTGCACAAAGTTCAAATGATGTAGAAACAGAGATCAAGAAAATGAAAAGAAAACAAGATAGCGAGAAGGAGACAGAAGAGAGAGAGAGAGAGAGAGAGAGAGAGAGAGGGAGTGTGAGAGAAGAGGGAGACAAGCATACAGACGGACAGACATACACACACATAGCAAGAGAAACATGTAGAGACACAGGTTTAAGAAGTGCTTCACAAACACATTTGCAAAAGGACATTGATCTCTGTCGGTGACCTCTGAACTTACCTCCTCCGACATCCTTGAAGATGGCTTCTTGGGCCGGAGCCGTCGTCGTCTTCTTCTTCTTCTCCTTGGGCTTGGCGGGAGGGAGGTCAGCAAAGATGTCAGAACTGCCAAAGAGATCCGCGTCGGTGGCTTTTGCAGCTTTGGCTTTCGTCTTCTTGGGCTTCGCTGCAAACAAGTCATCATCATCCTGTCAAAAAGAGAGATGGCGTATATGTAAGAACCATACGTTAAGATTTGTAATCTTTAAAATTCTTCCGCATTCAAACCTGCTTTAGTGACCACCCGTCTACAAAGACCGCTTTTTTTTGTTTCCTTTGAAAGTGGTTTCTTATTGAAACATGTACTAAAGGAACCTGTATACAGAGAACACATTTTGAGTTATTCTTGGGCGGTCGCTATAGACAGGTTTTGACTGTACTTTAAGTTTATTCTGAATTTTCTTTCAGACTCTTCCTTTTTTTTCAACTACCCCCTTAACGTTGTAAAATGTCTAAATTATGTACTTTGTATACATGCTGGGTTGTTCTGTAGACGAAGAAGATGATTTGTATGATTACTGTTTTTGCACATGTCTCTACATGCCTGGTATATTATAACTTGTCTTAACTATTTATGACTGATAATACTTTTTGAATATTATGTTCTTAAAGCCTCTATAAATTGTTGGGAGCCCTAAATTGTATTCTTTCATCAATATTCGACTTCAAACACATTTGTTTTGAAAATCCTTGCAGAAACATGTCTTAAATGACATCCTCTTTCACATTATGATACAATTTAAGTAAAAATGTTCTCATCATTTTTGGGGCTCCCAACACTTTAGAGTGGCTTTAACTTTAGGTCTTTTAAATGTCATGTGACACAATTTTATTATACAACATAAATGTCAACCATTTTCATTCCTTTTGTGTATGAAATCCAAATTATGGGTGAAGAAAAATATTAAGGAATTTTCATTTAGACCAACATGAGATTCATTCTTTTCAATTACTCATGTCAGACAGAGAATATAAAACATAAAAGCCAATAATATTCATATCCTTCTTCAGTCTTCGTATCTAATTGTTAAAACAATAAATTTTATTTCACAGACGCAATCATATCATTATATCCTTTATAAAATGTTACATATCCCCTGCAACTCGTTGAAGTCAACTTGGACCAATGCAAATAAAATCTGGGCACCCCTTAAACATTAATATCCTAAAGCAATGCAAATTAAATCTGGGCACCCCTTAAACATTAATATCCTAAAGCAAAGCAAACATATTTCATCAGATATCAAGTATACGATATGGAAGGTGGATAACCAAAGGTATGGACACTGCCCCTGGTTCTGGGTAAATCAAACAGGGAAATTTCCCCTCCTTTGTTAAACATGTTGACAGGCCTCTTGACAAATAGTAATAACAAATGAATATTCTCTTTTATCATTTTGATCGACAACGCTCAGAAAGGTTAACCTTATTGATTTTCTCATACTGTAACGTTTTTGCACTGCCAATTAGAAGGACAGATCCATATATATTTATCCTCTAAACTGGCGCTATTTTCTGACGAGTCAAATATTGCCAATGGATATATTCTTAAAAGGAATCCTCTTGCTTTTGCTTTAAGGAAGATTATCCATCTTCTGTTTGGAACATTCTCATGTTACCAGCTTGGCGGAAAAAAACTATTTTTCAAAAAGAAAGAATTTCCAGCAGTCATAATGTCTCTTTTCAGATGAATTATCGCCAAAGTGCAATTTGTCTCAAAAACACTCCGTCTTTTGCTTTACGAAAGATTATCCATGTTTTGTTTGAAACATTCTCATGTTGCCAGTTTGGCGGCAGAAATTTTTTTAAACAAAAAAAGAATTTCCATTACCAATTTTGGATGAATCAAATATCCAGTATTGCCAAAGTGCAATTTGCCTCAAAAAACACTTTAGTTTTTTGCTGTAAGAAAGATTATCAATGTTCTGTGTGTAACATGCTTCCATTGTCAACTAGCTCTTATGCTGATGAGTCAAGGTTTGCCAATGTGCCTCAAGAGCCTCAAAGGACACACTTGTTGTATGCTTCGGCCTTCAAGGAAGATTGATCTGTACTCCACAGTGACTAGAAGCTACCCAAGACCATTACAGCACTTCTATTTATTTGTATCACTAGCAAAAAAAGAGGGTTAAAGAGCATTCGGGGATGGGTACTGAACAAAAGAATGTGAGTCAAATGGGCCCTGGGGAGAATGAACGCTAACATAAATTGGATAAGAGGGAGAAACTGGGGCAAATACATGGCATTTTACGGCTGGATTGTCCCGGGGAGGAGGGCCGATAGGGCATAGGAGTGTCCAGAGAATGAAGTGGCACTCGTTAAAAAGATATCTTATGGAGTGTAAATTGTTGAGCATTTCATGTGCTACTAATGATCTTATGTGGCATATGCCCTTGATAATAGTATAATTTATCTATATATGCTGTCTATTATCGCCTGTTTGAAAGCCGGAATGGCATCGATTCTGTGTAACCATGATATATCCTTACTATAATATCATACTTTCATACATGTATTTGTAGGATTTCTTATTCAGGACTTAGCGGCAGGGTTAAAATACCGGCACCTAGAAATTATTGAAGAATAAAGGTGAAAACCTTGAAAGAAATATGCTCTCAAGGCAATTTCACTAAATTAAAGACAAATTTGAGCATTCAGTTGGTGATATGTTTCGTCATTATTACATTTCTATCCGATTATAAGCTATTCTGTCGAAACGTTTGCAACTGTGTTTCAAGGAAAACTGAGTCTACATACAAAATGCTAAGATACTAGTTTCAATTTCGATTTTGTTCTTATAATTTCATTTGGAATGTGGAAGGTGGAAACACACAGGACGCGAGCAATGTGAAAGGGGGAAGATGATGGGAGTAATGTGGAATTGGTAACGGATGATTGATGACAATAGACCTGGAGCCCGTTTCATAAAACATATTATCTATAACAAATGCTAGATTTCTATGACAAATTTGTTCTTAGCCAATCAGATGCAATGATTTCAGTAGCTTGTAACAGTAGCTTGTAACTTGTTATTGATATCAAGTTTTGTGAAACACCCCCCAGTACTAACATATTCATTTTTTTCTTCTTCCTGGTGACGAGTTATTCAATTTACCTACTGGAAATTTCTGAACTACAATACTTGGAATCCAGTTTGCATACAATCCTTATTGCAATAAGTGCCCCTTTTCATTTTTGAGAAGTGCCCCTTCACCTCTGATAATTGCCCTATTTAAATCTGAGAGGTGCCCCTATTAACAAAATTATTGGTGCCCCTTTTCTTTCAACAAATGCACATTTCCTTTATTATAAGTGCCTCTTTTTCATTCTCAGGCAAGCTTTGAGGTTGTCAAGAACGACCTTTGGCTACAAAGTATGCATCAAAAGTTTGAATATCTTCGTAAACCGGTCTATTTGAAGGGGATTTATAAATTACGGTTGCAACATGAAAGGGTAAACAATAATACAAAGGGGGTAGTAAACAATGGATGTAATGTGAAAGGGGCTTACCTCCAAGACCTGTGCCTTCTTCACTGCCTTCTTCTTCTTTGGTTTTGTGGTAGTGGTGGTGGTGGTGGGCGTGGTAGAGACGGGTGGGGGCCCACCAAAAAGATCGGCGTCGATGGACACAGAGCTTGTATCTAGACATAGTGAAACACCACAGAAATACAATTTAATAATTAATCTTGATTTATTCCTAATTTCTGAAATCAATGAAATGTTTTAAAGAATTGCACATAAAGGAATCTTTTTTTCTTTCTAGTTTAATGTACAGCATCTTTGATGTGGCAAAATAAAGAAGTACATGTCACCCTATAACAAACAAGGTAACATTTGGGAAACATTTTGGAGAAAATTTGAGAAATAAAGTTATTTCCTGTGTATTCAGCACACATACTGTACTTGTATATTGACTATACTTACTAGGTCCATTTTTTTTTGTAATGGAATAAATGATGATCCCTATATTCCCATTTTTTAAATCCAAGAACATGAGACAAGAACATTCTATATGATTTTTTTTAATTTACATTATACAACAAAGGTTTTCCCTGAATTTCTTTATCCACATGTATTGAACTGCACAATCATATAATCCATTTTAATCAAAGTGGCCAAATCCCTTTGTAAGGAATATTAATCCACTCATCAACACGGAAAAATAGTTCTTTCTACTCATCCCCCCCCCCCCCCTCTGTCTCTCTCTCATCTCCACTCTATACTGAACAATAATTGCAGATGTCACATTAGATGATAAAGTGTTTCCTTATATATCATGATCTCTTATAAATAAAAGGAATAATCTCTCTCATATATGTAGGACAGGTTAACGTTATATAAATGTTACATAATTTCTAAATCATTACACTATTGAAAATGAACATACATTATCACACTGTCGGGGCTATCCAGATACTTGACTTAATGTCACTGATATTCATAAATGGTGAAAGTGAGAAGCCTTATATACATGTATCATGATCTCTTATAACTAAAAAGAAATAATCTCGCTCAAAATCAAATATGAAGGACTTATCAACGTTTTCTAAAGTTTACATAATTTCTAATTCATTCTATTATTGAAAGTGAACATATCACACTGTCAGGACTATGTACCTGACTTTAATGTCACTGTTATTCATAAATGGTGAAGGGGAAGGCCAGTTCGTACAACCAGTGCAGGGGCGGATAAAGGCAAGGTCGTTTGTACCAAAGTTATAATATCCCTTGAGACGAATACTGGATACATGTTCATGACAGTTATGTCATCATTATTCATTTATGCACCGACAGACAGTACATTGCATGGAGCACAGTTGGAAGTATTCTCCTCGATAGGGGGAACAAAAGGTTTAAATGAAGCACATGCATCCACGGGGCAGTGACCATTCTAAAATGCACGAAGTGGGATTTCGCTGTGTGTAAAAGATTGGTGGATATTTGGGGTCATTTGTACTATTTTGTCAACTACAAACTTATCTATTGGCTTCCCTGTCATGGAGCCTTCATCACCCTCTATCTCCCATCCTCTTGTTTATACTGAACACTACGTATCACGATGTAACATGAAAGAGCAGTTTTCTTGAGTGCCACTGACCCTCTTAAACTGACAACCTGAAAGTCCTGATTTTGTAGCTTAGGAGGCAACTAAAAACTGTCATCACTGTTTCATGTGATTTTGTGCAGCTCACTGTAAATGATCTCTAAACGTTGAAATTGGCAACCCTTAAAGAAATCATCCAGATGCATGGCTGGCAACTCATCTCTTTCTCTCTCTCTCTCTCTCCCCCCTCCCCCTCTCTTTCTCTCTCGCTTTCCATCCTAGCTCTCCTTCCCTACCTCTCTCTTTCTCTCTCTTTATCTCTCTCTATTTTACTCTCATTCTCTCTTTCTTAAAAAAGATCAATATGACTAGAATAAAATATAGCGTGCCATGAAATATCTATAAGTACAGAGTAGCTGTGATCTTTCTTCCAAACACAGCCATAAAAATGCAAAAGACCTCACTTCAAATGCCAACAGGCTCTTCTCAATAAAAGGAAACCATGTTTGTTTGCCTTTTATGTGTTTAGAAAGCAAACTGATATGCAATGCTCAAAGATGACGGATCAATATTTCTCCTACCATATCAATGTTATTATCTCTCTTGCCCTCCCCCTCTCTCTCTCTCTCTCACCCTCTATCTCTCTCTCTCTCTCTCTCTCTCTCTCTCACCCTCTATCTCTCTCTCTCTCTCTCTCTCACCCTCTATCTCTCTCTCTCTCTCTATCTCTCTCTCTCTCTCTCTATCTCTCTCACCCTCTATCTCTCTCTCTCTCTCTCTCTCACCCTCTATCTCTCTCTCTCTCTCTCTCTATCTTTCTCTCTTTCTCTCTCTCTCTCTCTTTTGCCCCCTCTCTCTCACTCTCTCTATATCTTTTTCTCTCTCTCGTCCCCTCTCTCTCGTCACTCAAAATTATGCAACTTGGCACATGCATACATGCTGTAGGTACAGCAACTAATAATTTTTTTTAAAAATCATTACCAATCAATTATTCATTTATAACATTTTCACATAAAGTGCATTATATTGTCATATGACAATCTCTGTGCTATCACAGGCAAACTGACTAATTTAACAGCAATGATACTAACCATCTTGAAAATGAGGCACATTTTCAAAAAGAATCAATAGTAAACATATCTTACCTTTTGGCTTTGTCTTCCCAATGTCTCCAAATAAATCTTCATCGATTGCAAGGTCAGTCAAAGTCGACCTCTTACTTTTAGTGTTTGTCCCTGAGGCAAAGATATCCTCATACACAGGATCGACTTCCATTGAGCTCTGCTTGCTGCTGTGTCCAAGAACGGGAGGTGTGGCGAAGATATCGTCCAGGGAAGCATCAAGATTGACTTGTGGCGGTTTGGTGAATAAACTGTCACCAGTATCATGAGTCCTGCTTGGTTGTTTCTTGGTGGCGGCGGCGAATAAGTCACTATCACCTTCTATCGAGAACGGTCGCTCCTCTTTTGTCTTGCTGACAGTCTTTTGAGAAGGGTCCTTGCTGGAGCCGTTGGTGGCACTTGAGAAGAGATCATCATTAAAGAGGTCGTTTGATGGTGTTGGTTTCTTTGGTTTGGCCCCTGCTGATGGAGGAGGTTGTGGTCCGTCCATGTGATCTTCAAGCGTCCTTGAGGCAGGTTTCTTCGCAGGGGGAGGAGCCGGAGCAGCAGCAGCTGAAGCAGACGCACCATGGTCAGGCTCGTCGCTGGCCAAGTTCTGGGTGAATGTTCGGAAACCATCGTCAGGTTGTTTGGAGTCGTCACCCCAGAGGGCCGGGTTGGAAGCGGATGCAGCGGCTGCTTGCAGGCTTCTCCTCGAGGGAGGTCTTCGCTTGGCTGATACTCTCGCTCTCGTCTGCAAAGAATAAAAAAAGAGTCAATCACTTATGTTCTTTCTTCAGACGGATCAAAGTCATTTTTTTATCCCTTAAGAACAAATGGTATTATAATTGACTATATAAATACATGTATTTCAAATTTATCATCAGCCTTTTACACCCTTTAGGCAAACAATGAATGCAACAAACAGAATGCAAATTTATTTTACTGCAATGTTTTTTATAAGCTTATATCAAATTTGACTTTCATTGTAGAATAATAAATAAAAAAATTATCCTTCTGTACGTATTTGTTTCAGGTACAAATCATCCTGCCTCTGATTGGAAAACAAGTGAATGCAGGCCAAAAATCTACATCCTTAAATATCTGATGCCTTGGTTCTCGTAACATCTTTGTTAACATTGTCATAAATTTATCTAGTCGGCATGAAAAAATATCATCAGAAGCACATATCATAGGTTCTCAATCGTTTTCAAAAATTTATACTGATATAAAGACAGATCAAATTGTTGTGTTGACGAAAAATTCTATAGCTACTCCTTGAATTATATTTGCACAGGTAGAATCACAATAACAAAACTGCCATGCTACTTCTGACAATGGACGAAGAACGATATCACTGACATAATAGCAGACCATGAAAGGTCACTCAACAGCTTGCGTTATACGATATAGTCTCTTTTTAATGAGGGTAATCATAATTATCTACCCATATCTCCCGATGAAAATCATATCACACTTCAGGGAATCAATTATCTACATGCTGGAATCGTTGATGACATGTATTTTGATCTTATTTCCACTGGATTGTACATGTACGTCAATTTGTGAAAGATCGGGGCAAGGTTGATTTTTGTAATGGTCGATTTAATGTTGCAATGAGTCTGCAAATTTTGTTGTGTCCGCATCTTCAGCCATTGTGCAGCAAAAATGGATTATTTCCAGTGTCAGATAATAATTAGCTTTTTTTTCACTAGCATTTCTCATCTTTCCTCTAATTCCTATGATAGTCTCCTGCCTGATCTATGTTTTACATTATTTTTCAGCGGAAATATTGGTGCATGGACAAAACTGTTATACGACTGTACTGCATCCAGGTTATAAACCCATTACAGTTTTAATAATGCACAATACTTATTTTAAAAACATTATCTTAACTTTTATTGTTTTTGTTGTAGAAAATCTATGGAATCAATTCTGTGGGCTGTTATGAAATGGAGTGACTATTTTCCATATAAGAAACAGTACCAAGAAAAACCTTTCCACGACCAGTTTGGTCGGCAAAAGATTTTCAATGCAATAACGTAAACCTCCAACCAACCAAAATGGCTAGGAAACCAATCGCAGACCTCTGACAACCTTTTAAAGACTGCCAAAAAACTTGGTGCGTCCTCTGACAACTAAATCCCGACCAGTGGTTGTCTAGAGTCGGCGACCGGTCGTACCTCTAGTGTGATTTAGGCTTTATGCAATAGTCTGACATGAATGCAGTATAGTTTATTTGTTCTAGATCATTGCTGAAATAACAGCCAGATTGGTCAAGCTATTATCAATAGATCATTATAGAATACCTTTGTCGGATTAATATCCAGCGTCTTGGCGACGGCAGGCTGGTCGAAACCCACTCCTGTTGACTCTACCACCCTCTCTGGCGGGGCAGCACCAGGCCTGAGCGCCGTTGGATCGATGTTCAAATTAGCCTGTAAGATGCAAAGAAATCTTGTCAATGGATGGTCCACAAACTGATAATTAATTCAAGCATTTTGATATCAAGATGCAGTTAGTGATGTCTGAAGAACTTGTTCAAGCAACAGATAAAATACTACACACAAACAAAATCTCTCTCTTAATATAATTTTTGTTTTCTTTATCAGAGAGAATAAGAAATCCTGAAAAAAACTGTGATGTACCAATATATATATGGTATATATATATTGGTACATAAGAAGAAAAAACAACTTTCATAATAGATTAATAAGAAATAATGAGAAAAACAATTTGTATTAAATTTTGGCTGTGAATGAAGATATCTAGCAGATAAGATGCAAATGTCTGGTTTGATATTATTAGATATGGTTATGATTAAATTAGAGTTTATATAACAAATGAAATACAAATCACAAAGAGAAATTTATAGCAGGATAATACAATTATATGGAAGTGAGTATATATCACAGTGGGGTGAAACAATATTTTAATAATGGAATATGGATACATTCACACATCCAAGTCAAAGACAAGCTCAACTAGATAAATGAGAAAATATTATCATTATGAATAGTGTACTTGTACTGGTATTAACATAGAGAAGAATGGGTTATAAGACAACAGACAGGAGTATAATATCATGGACACTACATTAACTGTTTAAATTGGTGATAGCAAGTCATGGATAGAAAACACGAGAACTGTGATACACATGCAGCTTTCAATAACAAACATGACTTTTTTTTTTATCTTAACAGCCATGCGTACAGAATCTCAAATCAATTAGATTGCCGACACTGCAATGAACCCATGTACGGAACGCATGGGTACTTGGCAACCTAAACAAATTGAACCATAAGGAATTACCAAAGCAGGCATGCAATGCACAGTATGGCTGACAAATATTATAATAATGAAAAATACATGAAACTCTTTGCACAGAGGAACACGATCAAGTAAAAAGTCAGTTTCTTGGGAGACTTTTCAAGCAATAAATATCAATTTGTCTAATAACTGTGCTAGAGAGGAAATTGGAAATGTTAATAATCAGAATGGCCCAGGAAATATTTAATGGTATATGTGCTTAAGAAATTCATTTTACTACTTTGCACAAATATTCCTCACTTATCTCTATTTCAGCATTGCTATTAAGCAGGAAATTAGGTCAATTTCTATCAACTGTTCTTTTTAATTATATATATAAAAACAAATACAATGACATTTTATTCATTCTATACCTTATAGTAAGTGCTGTTTCTATTGAAGAAAGTGAAGATTGCTACCCAAGGCCCTCAAATTATGCACCTGTGTGTAAGGTAGTTGTTTAGGTGTCCCTTATTTTTATATGTTACGAATCTACTCATGACTTGGTAACAAAAATAAAGGGAAATTTTCTTTGATAATATGAACATATTCCTCCTATGGTCACTAAATCAACCTTGTTTTGCGATGTGAAGCAAAACGGTATCAAAATAGATAGTTTGGAATTAAAAAAATAGTATCTTCTGAATATAAACTCATAATTCATATATAGGTACTCCATCTTATGTATTCATTCTGACAGTTAAGGTAGTAAATGCGCTCACTGACACCACGTAACACAAATCTGAACGGAGAGAAAAGTGCATACATGTCAGTGGCTGAAGGTACCTTTCACATATGGATGCATCTCACGATCTTTGATAATGTCTCTATCAATTTGCTTGTTGGAGAATAATTAATGTCACATATTTTGGGCAAAGTGATCCCCTCTCACATTTTTTCGTTTGTACTGGGGGGGGGGGCAATATTTGGATGAACATAGACAAAACAAACCGTAGAAAAGTCGCATGGTCTCCTATCATTCTCCAAATGTCATAGAAATTATCATATATATGCACAATGTTTCTAAAGTGCATGTATATGTGTAATCCTCCTTGTTGACTAATGGCATATGCATAGATTAACCATTGTTGAATCTAATTGAATTCGATGCTATTCGTAGCTTCTAGTTTAACCCGCATCTTTGCATCCGTCACAGACCAAGATAATAGAAACCCTTTTTTTCTTCATACCGGTAATACAAATCAATTTATATGCAGATACTTCAAGACCCTCCAAAACCAATCTCTATTGTAATTTGATATCATAGCTATAAACATGTCATACACATGTACAAGAATAATGTATTGTTAAGGGTATATGTCAAGTTTCAAGTTTTTTCTCCCTCTCCCGTTAATAGGGAGATGGTTAAAGAGTACTACATCATAGATTCCTGCGGCCAAATGATTGAAATGATTGAAATGATTGGGAATAATATTTTGTTAAAGGTAATTGCCTTACATGTATTCGTTATTAAGAAAAAAAAAGAGGGCAAAGAATCGGATCATAAATAAGCAAAGTGTAACAGAGTATTGAAGGGACTTGGTAACATTGTTCAGATAAGAGAAAGTTGGGCTAAGGTAGTGATTTCAACGCTAGATGAAATTTTGAGTGAAAACAGACAACTACAAATTGGGAAAAACTGATCTGATCGATTCTTTTATTCTCCCAACTACATTATTACATTTTAATTACATTTTAGGTGAATGTAAATCGTCACAAAGTAATGAATTGGCTTTATATACCATTCCAGACATTTAAGTGATGACAGATTTTTTAAAGCCTTTTCTATGTCTTATTTTCATGGAAAAACGGTTGGAAAATTTAAAAAAAATGATTGGGAGAATTTACTATAAGAAAGTATCTCACAGTGACGCCTTCAAAGAAAAGTACAGTAGAAGGAATATGATAGGTAACATGTCATACAAAAATTACGCAGTTTTTTCATCAACTTTCAACAATGTTACCGAATGTTTAAGAATCATGCATGGGTAAATCATTGTTAGGGACATAAAGAAAACTAATTAGTTTACAGCAAATGGAATATCCTTTATCCTACAATAAAAACTAAATGTATTTCCAATTTTTCTGTCACCATTAGGTTATGTCAATACAGTTTTTGAATGGTGGTTTCTTCTTTTTTCCTTGGAGGGGAAGGGGAGGGGAAGGGGAGGAGAGGGAAGGGGGGGGGGTGGGGGTGGTTTATCAACATTAAGTCATGGATGAAATATATTTTAAAAATGCGCACATCGGTCTAGCACTATCAGGGAACTTGGAAATGTATTCATTGATATGGTCGAGAAATATACCACAAGCTTCAAGTTGTAGGTCATATTTATCAAATTGGTAAGCTATTCATGGATAAACAATTTCTTGTAAAATGTGTGAAAAACTGTATTTGAGTGATCAAGACAAATTTAGATGAATGTTATATTTTCTCTTTAAATTATATTGGCAATGGTGCATAATACAAAAGGCATTAGTATGCATTGTATAGCGTCACTTCGATCAATACTTAGGCACAATAGCAATGGTAATGATATCAAATTAGTTGTGGTGAGTGGGTATTGTGGAGGAGATTCAAGCTAAATGCAATTTCAATAATCATCGCGATGGGGGTAATAGATAAATGGGTCTAGTGCTATTGACGTTAACGAGAAAAGCTGTTTGCATACATATTATGAATTTATATAGCTGTAAATGGTTATTGCGGTAATACATTTCTATTATTCCTCATTGCAATGAAAGAATATAGAAGGAGAAAGGTAAAAAAATTGAAAGGATTGTGGGCCTCCCTGGGAGAAAGTCACTTAGCACTTAGTTTTTGTTTTCTTATCTAAAAGAAGTTATTTGGTGGTTATCTTTTGTAGTTTTCTTGCCATACCGGTAATTGCTTGTTCTTCTTAACATGTGTGGTAGTGCATTAAATGCTCATTATGATACTGTGATACTGTTGACAACTTTAAGGCGCGTCTTAAAACATTTCTTTTCAAAAATACTTTCCAATGTTAACGAGAGAAAGTATGTTGAGCATATCTCACTCTTCTTATGTTACTCTATCCACTTTTCCGTCTTACTCTTTCTTACAGCGCATAGAGACATATTGTGATATGCGCTATATAAGTATGGTATATCATTATTGTTATTATTATTATCTATGTTCACAGTTTGATGAAAATCAAGTCACATGTCAATTTACAACATGCACAACATGCCTGCTATGAAAGCAATATAATGATGCCCTCATCTGTCATGCATTTCATACACTATACATGCTTTAAGGTAGGTAACCTACCCCCCTCCCTCCCCCCCCCCCCCCCCCCAATAAAAAAAGTTTGGTACATCAAATGGATTTTAAACAGGTACTGCTGATGCCAATGCAATATCAAGTATCAACATCACGTTGAAACATTGAAGCTGAAACATGAGCACAAATACCTCCCTCTACTTTCAACGACCAATTTGTATTTCAAGATCATGTAGAAAATACAAATATTCATGCAATGACGTTTGCATTCTCCACAAGAACATGCAAGTTCATGTAAAAATGAAATTAGAAATTAAATACATTACAAAAAAAGAATCAAATCTAAATTCCTTCTCAGAACTTTAGTCAATACAATTGGATAAGGTTATAACGACACTTCCATACAGAATAAAAACCATAATTGTTGTGATTATCTCGACTTAGGGAAATTTCCAGGTATAGGCTGGTATTCATTACCTGTAATATATAAAAATGTTAATAATATTTTTTTTGGTATCACAATGCAAGTAAACAGGTTCCTACTACACTGTTATACTATGTATCTTGAATATCTTTAATAGAGAAAGTAAAAACAATATTCATTTAACCTAAACTTATAGCCCAGTTTAACTTCTCAATTCCATCCAATATCTGTAGAATTTGAAGAGCATTGTCATAACCTAGGAACATTTCCTCTTTTGACAACATTGTAATGACATAACTGTAAGATTTATTACAAAACAAAATCATAAGTAAATATCCCAGGTAAACCTGGGCATGCCAGTCATGCAGGTCGTCCCATAGATGCAGTCATCAGGCTTCATCATGCAAAGCATTCCACACCACACCTTGAATAGCTCAGCCTTCCGCCAAACCGATCCTACAGAGGATGACGCCATGCCTGACGGGGTGTACGATGTCGATGATGATGAGGATGGTGAGGAGGAGGATGGACATGATGATGATGAGGGCGGGGCGCCCGGGAGCCTGGCTGGTGCTTTCTGGGGATTCTTGTTAGGTTTCGGAAGAGGCTTGGGAGGGGGTTCTTTGATGCTACGCTTGGACGTCAACCCCCTGAAGCCCGGGGAATGAGGGGATGAATTGGAGTTGGAGTTGGTGTTGGTGTTGGTGTTGGTGTTTTCATGGGGTAATGGTACCCTCCCCTTCTGCTTCTTGATCTTACTTGGTCTAGGGAAGGTGAACCCTCCGGAGAAGGGCGTGTCATTGTCGCTTCTCTCTGTAGAGGAGGATGATGGTGTCCGACTGACAGTCCTCTTGCAAGAGAAGGAATAGGACGGAGTCCGGCGGATGCATGCCTCAAACTGCTCCGAGACAGCGGCAACCGGGGGTCTCTTCCATTCCACATCGCTGCTCCCCCTGGGACTGGAGGGGCGCTGAATGGGCGGGGGTTCATGGTAGTGGTGGTCTGCGGGGGAAGTCTTTTTGGAAGGGCTGGGCATGTCTGCTGTGCGATTCCATTTGGGACTAACTGGTTGTTTCTGGTTGTTCTCAACCTCAAGATTTGACAGGCTGACAATGGATTTTGTGTCGGGATTCTTTGGAGCTTTGTGATGTGGTGGTATTGGACTACTATTTCTAGAGATTTTAGGGGATGGTGGGGGAGAGGAACGATCTTTCTTGTGGCTACTAAAAAGTGCAATTTTTTGCATGAGGGACATTTTGCACAATTCATTTGGTGGACAGTGGTCATTTTGATTGGAAGCGTTCTTTCCTGTTTTAGAGTGACCATTCTCAGTGCTTTTCTCAAAGGGTGCTATTTTCTGTGAAGGTGCTGTTGAGTTTGAATTGGACGAGTTAGAGGAGCTCATGGAAATATTGTGCGCATTGTAAGTGTTGGTTGAACTAACAGTTGTGAAGGAATCGTGAGAGTTGGCAGAGATGTTGGACAGGTTAAGGGAGTTCATTGAAAACTGGGAGCATGTTGAGGAATTGGAGATGATAGACATGTGTGCATTGATCATAACATTGTTAGAGTTGGTAGTGTTGGAAGATTTTGGATAGGATGGAGGAGATGATGAGAATCTGGAAGCCATGTGACCATTCTGATCCCGTGAAGGGGTACTTCTACCAGGGCAATGGGGTCCCTTAGGGGGCTTGGCAAAGACAGGGGGTGGTACCGGAGCCTTTGCTGGTTTTTGTGCAGGTGGAGGGGGTTGTTTCTTGCCAGCTTTAGATTTCCGTGCAAACATGGGTGATATCGAAGGGGGATGTGGAAGAGCTTGCTTGGTGCCACTGTCGTGGTTTCCATTAACATGGGTGTTATTTTCATGTGTTACTTTGGGTGCATGTCTATGGCGATGATCTCTGATGTCATCAATGACCATGTTATCATCGTACCCATCAACTTCAGCCTCAATATCTCTTGCAAAATTTACCTCAGTATCACTGTCATTGCCCGCTCTATGATTTCCGTTGACTTTGGGCCCGTTTGGAAGAACATTGATTCTATATGATGGAGGTGGAGGGGGTGGTGGTAAATCGGCATCCCATCGATAATGGCCATCCCGAAGGTTGTGGGATGGACTACCAACTGACCCAGCAGGTGATTCCCTCCTGGGACTCTGCCTGTTCGTGTGCAAGGCATCGTGCGACTTGCCCAATGCTCTTGGAGACATTTGCTTCCTGAAGCCATTCTTGAGGACCTGTGCACTGAAGATGGGTAAATCGTCTTTCTCAAAGTCTAGGGACTGGTCAGACAAGGGGCTTCCTACAGGAGATGCACCAGGTGATACATGTCTCCTGTCCCCATGCAGGACAAAGGCAGACTGACCACTCGGCTTCAGAGCCCCTGAGTGAAGACCCTTGGGGCTCAGGGGTTCCGATATGACAGGTCGGCTCTTGGAATTCGGCGGAGAGGACGAAACTTTGGAAGTGAGAAATTTGAGTGGTGGGGGTCTCGCAGGCACCCTCTTCATAGGCTTGTCTTCGCGCACCGCGAGTTTATTGTTCATTCCGTTAATCTTGGCAGTTGTCTTGTTCTCACTCGCATGGTTTACTGTCCACTCTGCACCGTTGGAGTTGGTCTTCCTGATAGGTGAAAACCGGGATTGTAAAACACTGTTGGGAACACTGGATCCATCCTCAGTACTGTGAGATCGCAACCGCCTTAGCAGCTTTGGACTGGATGAAGGAATGTTGTTGTTCATGTTGGATGGGTATCCGTTGTGGCCTTTGGCAGGAGGGCTGGGGAATCGTTGGGAGTTGTCCACTGCAGGATGTTCTTCAGGTTTGAATTTCTTTGATAGAACATCCAGAGGAGGTGGCGGGAAGTCTTCATGGTTGGGATTATCTAGGAAGGAAGGTGGCCTTGGGAATTCTGCCGGACTGGGTAGTCTATTGACAGGAGGGGGAGGAGGAGGAAGGTCATTATTTGAATGGGTGTTTCTTGGAAGTGTCGGTGGTCCCTTTGCTTTGTGAGTTTTAGGTTGGAAATCAGGAGGAGGGACATTGGGTGGACTTGGAAACTTGGGTAACGTTGGAGGAGGGATGTTGTTGAATATCTTAGGAGGCGGGGGTGGGTCATTTGGAGGACTTGGAAACTTTGGTAGGGTGGGTGGTGGTTCATGGGAATTCTGGTGATACTTAGGGTATGTGGTTGGAGGGGGCTCTTGGGGTGGACTGGGGAACCGTGTGAAGGTTGGAGGTGGTTCCCTTGGTGGACTGGGGAACTTTGGAAGTGTAGGGGGAGATTCTTGATGTGTGTTATTGCGGTAGTTTCTTTGATGATTCTGTTGGGGTGGTTTCAGAGCCTTCTGAGGACTTCTGCCCATATTGTTTGCAGAGACGAGACCTTCGTCAAAGACAGGGGAGTTGGGCCGGTAACGACGCGGTTGACTGCGGACCTCGTTATTTTTCTGGATCGCGATAGGATTGCTGGGTTTCACTTTAGTCTGCGGAGGATGCTTCCCGAGGATAGCTTTAGTAGGTATGGGACTCAAGTCAGGGAAAGACGACTTGACCGGCATTATGACCTCTACACAATTTGAAAGGAATCCAGCCTAGACATGATAATCGGGAGTGAGATAAGCACAATTTTCCATTACAAAGTGACGTCAAAAACACAAGTAGTCATGAATCACAAAACTGTCATTCCATTTCATTCAATTTGAATACTTCATTGACAAGAACATTTTAATTAATCATGATTCACGAGCATGCTACAAACATAAACCTCATTATCTATATGTAAACAAACAATTAATCCTAATGGCTTAGATACAGAAAACAAGGAAAAAGATCAAGAGAATAAGATTACATGAGTAATATCTATTATGGTGGGTATATATATATTATTCCACACCATTTTCTGTAACCATGCACTGTAACATGCAGACCTAACTATAATCCAATCCTTCAGAATAATGAAAAAGTAGAGTGGTTGGGTTTAAATCCATATAAATGAATTGAAATCATATTCTGATGATATTTATATGAACATGCACTACAGAAACCATGAAAAACATTAAACTTACTGATTTCTTTCCAATCTTCCTAAATATAACATGCACTTCATGCAAATGTATCATATAAATGATAACATATCTATGCTCAGTATACCTCAATGGAGTTGATTCTTACACACAAGTTCATAATGCGAGAAGATTAAACTGCACAAATATTCCTGAAAAACTTAGAACAACTGTGAGAGATAACATGAATCACAATCAACATACATACAATATAATGGTATTCATATGCGACTTAAAACATTCAAACATATAACATATAACATTTATTGAGAAATTTACCTTATATTTCAGACACCATAATACTTAATGATTATACAAAGATATTGTCGCTTCTCAGTAATGCCTATGATAGTCTATAAAAACAATCAGATTCATCGTAGCATGCTTGGGGGTGGGGGGGGGGGCTCAATTTTACAAACCTTATCCATTACAAATGAATGATTGTTCATGATTGAGCTCCCCACATCAGATAGGCACAATTAGTCAAAAAACTTCTCAAATAATCAAACACAAGAAATTCTACTCACTGTAAAGACAATTAAAAGTGTCACAGAACTACTTTATAATCATGCAGGCACATACGTATATATGAGAAATCTATGACAAATCTATCATACTGTCTGAAATAATATTTTGTATGTGCGATGTATGGAAGTATACTTTAAATACATACATGTACATAAATTACATTCATCTTTTAATTTCTCTTCTATATTGAATATATTCCTACTGCTTCACAGCACCTACTCTTAGTGACAAACCTCAAGGTACAAATCACATTACAATTTGAATCTAAGCTCTTAAACTTGATACATCGATAAAACATAATTATAATCTTATTAGAACATTATAACATACATTGACTATCAAGGAATTCTCAGTGGCACACATGAATGCAAGAATGTGATAATATACACTAAAAATAGAAAATAATGTGATGTAAATTTACATTTCAACCAAGCATGAAAGTTGTTGTGATAGATTAGAAAGCACTCTGAGTTTAGAACAGCAAAAAGAATCGATATCTCTATCTAAATATAATGACATTTATAATATTGTCTACACGTATGAGATTATATTCTAAAAAAGAATGGAATATATAATACTGCTCTGAATATTGTTAAAATGAAACATGAAAGCAAATACAGCAACAGAGAGTAACATATTAAAAAAAGATATGCAAACTTCAATTCACACCACACATCAACTACATAGATAATTGAATGAATGACTAAATTAGTGGCAGATTAAGCATTGTGAATAAATAAAAGACAGTAGTGAAAGCATGTAGCCTGTGAATTTGGCTGTCAATCATATATGTAATTCTTCATACTATATAATCAAACTTTGAAATCACAAATTAAGAAATCAGCAAAACCTGAAAGCACAATGGTTATGCATAAAGACAAAAAAGCATATGGAAAGCTAATAAAGATGGGAAATGACTTGAAGTGAACTGCAGGTTAGTATACTTTGTACATTGTATAATGTAAGGGAATGGAAAGGATGAGGAAAGGGTTAAATGATGATATATCAAACAGAAGCTACACTCCACCAAAACAAAAAATCTGCAAAACAAGAAAGCAAGAAGACCCTGATAAAAATATGCAATGATGAAAACACCAACACCAAGAATATATATGTCACATCAAACACAGAACACAAACATAGAGGTATATAGAAAAGAAAGTAAAGGCAAGACACGGCACACAAAAACAAGGTGAGTGGTAGATATATGTGAGGTATTTCAAATAAAAAACAAATAATAAGAAAGAAGGAAGTATTTGTTTGTAAATGATTAGGATTATACAAATGATATGTAAAAAGTTCAACTAATATGAAAAAAGGAAAGTAGGGAATTACCAAACATTATATTTTCAAAAAAAAGTATTCTAAAATAGAGTTTACAGGATTTTGTCTAGGGAATATTGAAAGTGTTTGCCTCCCTTTTCCTCCCTAAAAATTGAAATTATTCATTTTTCTTTGAACTCAGCGTAAAAAATGTACATACTCTTGTCCCAAAAGGCGAGAATGAAAAATGCATACTTGGAATTACAGAAGTGTTAATATACAAATATACTATGGATATTTGTTTCATTAAAATACACAGTCTGGGTAGAACCTCATGATAGAAATTTTTTTTTTCACCCTTCTTTTCTCTTTGGTAGGGGGGGGGGGGTAAATCTTTGTTCGATTTGGTTGCTTAGAAATATATCATCTTGATGAAATATTATTAATTAAAAAAATATATAATTGTATACTTGAAAAATGAATGTATCTCATTAGCTTGGATTGTGCACACACACACTCACATCAAACACAACAATATGAAAACAGATTGAAATGTATAATCATAGAAAATTTGAAATGGCACCTTTAGTTTGCCGACTGCCGAAGTGCTCTTGCCTTTCGGCGCAGCTACCGGTTTGATGCGTGGCGTAACCGAAGCGTAGTCGGGCATGTCCTCCGACGGGGGAGGTGCGGAGCCAAAGAGAGGGGTAGGGGTAATGTAGGAAGCGGAAGAGGAGGAGGTAGAGGTGGAGGTTTTGGATTGGGTGGAGGACTATCAGAGTAGAAAAAAATATTGATGTTGCATTTTTTCCATATGGAATGTAAGCAATGGGAGAAATGAAATAAAAAATATGAAAGAATAATATCAGACATGGAAAACAAATGTTTGGTAAACATAAAGAATACAAATGAAATAATATTTCACGTCTACAATACCTACTGAAGTGGAAGAAAATAACACGACGGACAACAAGATGATGGATTTTTGGGGAAATATTAAATCACTCGTAATTGGGCGTAATAGGTATCATAAATCAAAGGATATTTGAGGTGAATTTGTATGGAGTACAAAGCACGGTATAATGAAGTGTATACATTCATTATGCTATAAAATGGTTGTCTTCTTCACAAAGCAAATACTTTCACTTATAATTTGACAGGTCAATCAATATACGTTATGAGAAGTAATCTTTCATAACATTCATATAAAACTAAATTGCCATTGATTTTCTTTTTAAAGTGTCAATAAAGTGTTACATCTTTTTTTCTTTCTGTTTTGAGTCCAATAAGTGAAAGCAAGCTCTATAATGAGAACAAAGGCGGTGGAATAATGGATACATTTTTTATAATGTAACGTGGTGCATGAAACAGAATTATACACCACAATTGCTTTAATAATGACTGTCCAAATTTCATCACCATTTTGATTTCGCATATGATGAAATGAATGACAATGACTTGCCGCGTGTCGCTTGATATTCCTTTACAGATCATTAATCATCCCATTCACGTCGCCGTAAATTCCTACCTTGTCGTCGTCAAACGCGTCGTCAACGACTACGGCTTCCTTTTTCTTCTTCTTAACGAGAGAAGACGGATCCATGCCGCCGAACATGGAAACGGCTCCCGCGGGCGGTTTCTTGGAAGGCTTTTTTGTCGATAGCGAGGGAGGATCCTGAGTATTTGAAGGGGAAGAGATAAAAGAGGAGAGAAAAGAGGGGCATTGTAAAGGGACGGATGATTAGTGGGGTACATTTCCTGAAAGATGGTGTCAAAAGAATGTCACATTTCTAAGCACTCCTCCTTAATGCTCCTCGTTTTAGACCAGTTATTCATAATTTGCCATGTAGATATTTTATGTACTTTCATAACTTTTCAAATTACTCTGGAGTTTAACAAATAAAGTCATATGGACAACGGATGGATTTTGCCACTGGAATAAATGCATTCTTCAATGAATTCATCTGAAATTAACAGCTGCAAATATTATGAATCTTTGCTAGCCATTCACAAAGAAAGAGTAGATTAACTATTTTTAAATAAATATCGTTCAAGGAATTCTCTTCCTGACAGCATTGCTAACCACACATCAAAGGCAAAGTATTTTATACAACTTCCATGACAGACTGATATAAAGCCAACATGCTTCTTTACTTTTGCCTTTTCTTTTTTTGCTGCCGCAGAAAATATCTCAAGACATCCAAGATCCACTATGTCATGCATTTCATTCTTTTCAAACTTTTATCATCACCATACAAAAAATACTTTCCTTATTACTCCTATCCTGTCGTGATGTGATTTACAATTCTAAAAGTTTATCACATATATTATTATTCTGCACAGCATACTTTTGTACTAAATTTTTTTTTAAATCCCTGTTGATACTAGTAGATTCAGATTTTGATGTCAAGCAGAAAACAGCAAAGACCAAGAACAACAAAAAATACTGCAGAAAGTGTAAAAACAAAGTGTGTGATTTCTATTAAATGAGTTTCACAATAAAAATCTCATTTTGTATGTAAATCTTATTCCTTACTATTTAGCCACCAAATTAAGTTTAAAAAGATCAGTAATTCAAAACTATGATCGTGATCACTCATACAAAGGGCTTTCATCCTGCTTCAACTTTTAATTTTAATTTTAGTACTTCATCAAGAAGTATGTACTGTATATATTCTTTTACAGGCTTAGGCATGTAAAATTCAGCTTTGATAAAGTCATACATGTAAAAGAAATATCTGTTTAGCTCAACTTAATTACAAATGTAGATACATTGTAGTATTAAACATAAAAGAATGCAATAATTATTAAAGAACAAACATGAAACCCAGAAAGTTGGGAAAGTCTCTGCATGGGCTGATAAAAACCCCACCAGATTACTCAGAAATAAGTATTAAAGACATAAAATGCAAATTATTTAAAGATCAGAGAGAAAGTCCATCTTTACCTTGAGGAAAAATAGTTTTAAAAAAAAGAAATGCACATGTATGGCAGTAATAAATAGATGTACGATTAGCGGATCCCCGAATTTAATTTTTTTTTGAAGGGGGGGGGGGGAGCACAAAATATTTGATTCAAGAAAGCTTTTCATTTTAATTGAATTTGAATTTAGAGAATCAAATGAGGGACTGGCTCTGACGATATTGATGGGATAAAATCCATAATGAATTAAATTTGACTCACTTGTTTCGGTGGTTCCGGAGGGGTAGCACCACCACCACCTTCAGATGACAATCCTACACCGCCCAATGGATCCACCACACTAGACCGCTCCTCATTCACCTTCTTCTCTGCATCCTTCTTTTCCTCCTTCTCCTCCTTTTTCTTCTCCTCTTTCTTCTTCTCCTTCTTCTTAGGTGGTTTTGACTCTCCAAAGAGATCGTCCCCATCGTCATCATCAAACAGGCCTCCTTTGGCCGCTGGCAGGGTCGCCGATTTCTTCTTCTTTTCTTTCTTGGCGGCGACGGCAGCCTTCACGCCGGTGGGGCGGGGCATGGTTTTGCTACCGGTGGAGGTAAAGAGATCATCCTCCCCCTCATCGGCGTCGCCGAAGAGCCCCTTGCTTTCCGAGGTAGCTCGTTTGCGGCGGGGCGATCCCGACTTTTCGTCCTTTTCTGATTCTGACTGATTCTGATGTGATGAGGCATAAGAGAAGTTAATGCCTGTTCATATAACAAAGCTAGAAAAACCTCCGAAGCTCTACTCCGTTAAGGAGAGTGCACATTGCATAATTCTTAACATAAAGTACAATATTACTTATAGTTTAAATACACAGGAGAAGCTTTAGATTACATTAAGAGGAAAGATAAGTCCGGAGAGAAACAAAATGAATTATGTCAATCAATCCTTCTTTGAGAACATTATATTGCATGAACATGCACTTTGACAAAGAAATGAAGGTACATGTACATTACATATACCTGTACCTCTAATGATGTCATCTCATATTTGAAAAGAATTTATATATTACGAACAAGATTAATTATTCTTGTTCCTTTTAAACAAGAGTTTCCATGAAAATATTGACATATTGGATTAGTCATTAGCATACACTCTGCGGATTTCATAAATCATAACAAAGCTTTTAGATTTCATATGATGTGGGAGGCATTCACCTCACAAAATATCAGTACAATTTCCTTTCCTGTTTAAAAGTCATTTTGTTTCTCTCTGGTCGGTTTACAACAACTTATCAACTCATAAAGCTATGACACATAATTCCATGTATATGCACTTTGGATGTTTCAAACAACGTTAACAGATCATCAACAAAATCTGCAGCAGTGTCATTTTTACAAACATTATGCAACACACACCGTCTTTTGAAAGCAGTGGTTTTGTAATTCCAGACAATTCAAAAACAAAAGCTGGACAATAACATGTTGAGAACATGTACCGCCCAGGGTTTCGAGCTGCGATAATTGCAAATACAGATGTACCTTGAAGTGTTGATGAAAATATTTCTAAGACCCTTGAGGTATACTGAGCGACAGACATACAACTCTACATCTCCATGCACAGTAATTTTGAAACAACAATCAAACGGGAAATCACACTTATTCTGCCTGAAGCATCCCATCATTTCAAGGATTCTTATAAAACGGAAATTAAATCTTACGTAAAAATGGAAATCACATGTAAAATGAACTAGAATTGTAACTTATCTCAAGTTTTATATATCCAGAATATTTTCCTTTATTTTGTTCACAGCTGCTTGACCTATAATATGCATTTCGATCCAACCCCTCAAGATATTAACAAAATTCTTTTGTTTACTTTTCAGTGATACTTGACTAGTCATTTGTATCCGATTCTCCCATGATTTTCAAAAGATATTACTTGCAGCCTCGACTTCAATTATTGTCAAAATGTTTTTATTTTGTAATAGTGAATATCAAGACATGATATTTCCCACCACCCATCTTTGTAAAAAAACTATGCGTATAATACCAACATTTTACTATCGATATTTGAAATAAAAAATCAGGAAAAAAAAAGCTTGAGTGATTCAGGCAGGAGACAAGTGAAACTTCCTTGGTAATAAATAACAAGAAAAAAACAGGCATCAATGAAGACTTCCAATGGCTTTCTGTCAATATCCTAAATTTGCAGTCAGTGTATTTATCTCAAATCAGAGCTGGACATTTCACAAGATAGTTTCCCAGTTGCAAATTGCGATCAGATTTCTCGAAAGAAAACATGGCAGCGTTGTGGCACAGAGGAGATTATTCACCAGTCCTCAACATGCCCCCCCCCCCCCTCGAGGAAAATTTCTGGAGTGCCAATCTAAAAAATGCTTGAGGGTTTTAACGCAGCAGATGTGAAGTAGGATAAAGCAGGGAAAGCCACTTTGGATGAGGTCTTAATTACATGCCTTTTTCTATCTTATTCAATCCCTCCCCAGCAGACATTATCGTCACCACAGAATACCTAGGCTTTTGCAAATCACACCTTTAGGCCATTTGTAGGAGTTTCATGTTCTCCCCTTTCCTCTCTTTTGTTTTGTCAAACGGCGTAAAGTAAGCTATTGTGATAACAACTACTCTGATGGTCAACGCATATACTTCAGAGGCCATTATGGCAAATGGCTACAGTAAACAGAAATCTTTGTTTTACCGATAGGTTTCATAATTCATACAGAGTCCACTTCAGGTAGAATATAACCAGGTTACTCAATAATTCAGGTTCTTTTCTTTTCCCCTCTCCTCCCCCAGAAAAATACAACCTAGCCTTGTTTGTTTTGCTTGCATAAAATGCAATGAGTAGGAATTCTGTGATGATTTGAAGAAGCACCAAATAGATGTCTTTGTCTGCCAAGGAATAGTGATCTTAAAACATGCACAATCAAGATACAGTTCTGATCAATCCCCTCATTATGAGACAAGTATGAATGGGAGCTCTGACAATGAACAAGACATGTTGTCATACCCACCCCCCCCCCCCTCAAAAAAAAAAATCAAAAAAATCTAAACAATAGTCTCTCTTTCTTTTGGAAATAGATAATAATTTAACCAATAATCACACAGAAAAAGAAAAAAAATTAGTTCACTCATTAAGTCTGACTTTTCAACATGTACTTATTTTCAGCCCTGTTTTTATTTCATATTTTGAATATTTTTAAATTTACAAAAAATATCATACATGTGATTGTTCTTTTATCTTTGTGAATGTCATTTTGATAGAACAGGGATGCAAAGTCTCATCCTTTGAAGTTACAAAAAAGCAAATCTATCACTTCAATAAAATTTTGAAAGGAAAAAAGTTTGGTCAGAGAAAGAGATACAAACTTATACCTTTGTGACCACAATGCCTCACTCGTTCACTTCACTGACATGAGCTTTACCTTATCTTTCCACTTTAATGGAATTAAACCATCACATCTGGTTACCATGGCAACAAGAATAAACCACGAAAGAGTAAGATCAGCACTGTATCTTGACGGATAACTTCCAAGCAGATGCAAAGCATGCTTCCTCTAAGAGGGTAATAGTTACTTACCTTTGTCTGCGGGACCGGAGTGTTGGAGCCGAAGAGATCTACCCCGGGGTTCTCCTCGTTCTTGAGACCAAAGAGGATAGCCTCATCGTCAAAGATGCTCTTACTCTTGGTTCGCCTTCTTGCCATCTGTTATGTTTCAAGGAGAAAAGGGAGAGGAGCAAGGGAAGAGAAAGTGTAAACAAATAGTATGCTTACATCAACAACAACAACAACAACGGATACCTTTACATAGTGGAGCTCCTGCAAGGGTATTCTAATGCTCTTAATACAAAGTATTATATCATTACCACAGCTTCAGCTGAGCTGCTATGATAAGGTGCTATTCATAGCGTTCAGGGCATTTTTATTCTTTAGATAAAAATAATTTCCTACACATGTGGACCATTATTTACAAGAGGCATTTAAGATTGGTCCATGTCATTGTCGATGGCAAACAAATCTCAATTTTAGCCAACACATGATACATCACATTACTTACCGCTATACATCCACGGATGCACATGTCCTACACCAAAATTATAGAGCACTTACCTCCACATGCGGCCTACTGTGCATTGTGTTCTTAAAACCGTTGTAACTTACTATCACAAGTTTGAATAATCATTTGATTAGGATCTAGGACTGAGTTGTACAACACAACCTCATACACATGAAACAAATATTTAAATGGTACCAAGCAGTGTCACACACTGACCAACCAATAAATGTACATGTGTATGTTTGAGATTGGAAGGGATTTCCCCTATTAATTCATCACACTTTTGGCAGAGTAACTTGATCCCTCATTTCCTCCCCATCTTGGACCAAAGTCTTTGGAAGGATATTACCCTTTACATAAACCTTGGAGACCTCCTGTGAACCCAATCTATCCCATTTGAGAATTCAATACCGTAAGCATGTATAGCATTTTATTTTTCAGTAAGATAGCAATTGTAAATAAATACCGGTACTATATCAGGAATATACATAATTTCTTGTGACAACTTGAAGATTTGTCAATGGTTGCCTGACATAGCAACAGACAATGTCTTCAAAGTGGATTCCAGCCAAAGAGTCATTATTACACAAGGCGGATTAATAAAATTATATTCTAACAGGGGTTCTGGGAAACAAACATTGTGTAGACTGACACAACCATCCCAGCCAAGATCACCCTCTCCTAGTAGAGAGCAGTATGGGTGAAATTTTCTTTAGGGGGTAGGGGTGGGGTAGTTGTAGGGGGATAATGAGACAAGGAGCACTCACTTGTTCCTCTTTGCTTGGATTGGGGTCCAGCTGTTCCTTCTTAGGGGGCAAGGCCGGGGGCGTGGCAAACAGATCCTCATCCTTGTCATCGTCGTCATGGAAGAGACTGAGGGTGTTCTGGGTCCTGTTGGCCTTGGCTTGAGGAGACAACTGGTCCGGTTTCTGAGGGATAGAAGGAAGGGTATATGGTGGGGATGGGAGGAAAGGAGGGAAGAGGAGGGAAGGATAGAAAAAGAGTTTAATAGAAGGGGAAAGAGAAAGAAAGAAGGAAGATGGAATAACATATAAAATATATAAAGAGAAAAAAAGTGAGAGAATATAAAGATAGAGGAAAAGTTGGAGCAAAGGAAAAGTAGAGAAGATAAAGAACAGGGAAATCAAATAGAGGAAAGAGAGAGAGAAAGAGAGAGAGAGAGAGAGGGGGGGGGGGAGGGGATTAAAGGACACAGGGAAGCAAAGAAAAAGGAAGGTTAATAAAGCAAAGGTGTACATGGCAAGCAAATAAGGAAATATTATTATAGCATTTTAAACCAATCATGTACATTATCAAGTAAGTTGGTGTAAACTTCTTCATCTTTCCAAAGGCACATGATCAGAAAAAACATGCACAATCAACAATATACACCGTAATTTACTACGAAAGAACATTACAGAAATTTAAAAGGTTACCTGTTGTTGTGGTGGCTCTACCTCTATCTTAGGGGGGCTACCAAATATATCTGCCCCTTCAAAGAGGGCTACGCCACCAGGTGGCTTCTTCTTAGGTCTGGAATGAAAGGAGAATAAACAGACACAACTTTACAATTTTGACATTGACTTTGTAAATCACATTAAATACATGTAAGAAAACAATAAATGCATCAACAATTCTTTTCTTTTATAACTTGTAAGCTTTACATAGCTTCTTAGGTAATTGATTTAACATTGTAAAGATGAATAAGACTTTAAATTGTGCTTTGAATCAATGGTAAATAATTTTGAAAAATATACATCAGCCACAAAAACTTAAACATTAGGTTATTTATTTATTTATTATTAAAATAATGATTTTATCACTTCCACAAAATAGCAATAGAAATTTGGGAAAAATTAAATTACACAATGTGAACACAAGAAGTGGAATAATTTAGTCAGACATAATAAAGAAACATTTCTCTAGAATGAAAATGGGGAGATATTACTAGACAAAATATGAGGAGCCTTTTTAGCTTTCAGTATCCATTGGTCATTAAGTTACATGTATATTATCAAAAACTTTAAACATCTATATTTTGAACAATATGGAAGGATATAATCCCTGAATTATGACACACTACACACATTCATTGAAAAGTCAAATCAGGGAGGTGTTTCACAAAGATTCTTAGTTGAACTTATCTCTAAGGTGGACTTAACAATTATGGAAAGCCGTTTAGCATCTTTGAAAATATTTTGTAAAAGTTATTTTGAAAGGCATAACATCATATTTTCTATTATCAAGGAGATTTCATGTTCTTGATGTGGAATTTGTGAAAAGTCTAAAATACTTCAATTTTTGCTTTTGAATATTTTTTTTTAAAAGGCTACAAATGGCTCTCTATAATTTTTAAGTCCAACTTAGAGTTAAGTTCGTCTTAGGTCTTTGTGTGTCACCCCCGAGGTATTATAATACTTGACACTAAATGCTGATGGATCACTCACTGTTCTTTTGGCTTGGATGAAGCTGTAAAGAAATCTTCTTCTCCTTCTCCTTCGATATCATCAAACAAGCCTTGATTCTTCTTTGCAGCAGCCTATCATATAAAAGATACATATAAAATATCATATCAGTTTCATGATCTTAATAGATTTCCTTTTTAAGTCAGGATCGCAATCATTTTCTAAGAATGATTATACAATTATTGGTCTGAAATTTCTGAATTTACTTTAATTTCCTTACCCAATCAGTCCCACAGTCCGACATGAATCGGAAGAGTGAACATAATGCTTATTTGGCTACATGAATTTTGGGAAAGCAAACTTCGAGATCACAATAATATATAATAATAAAAAAGGTGCTAAAGTGCTTACCATCAAAGTCTCTTACCACAACCACTTATATTTCTACAAATCTAATGTTTATATCTTATCAAGGTCTGCATTTCCATAAGTCTTACTCCTATTTGCTCTCCGTCTTATTAAGCTTTTTAACTTGTGCTGACATAATATTTTCGACCAACGTCGTAAATTCTCAGTATTCTACAACAAAACCTACATATTCAAGGAACAGTAATTAACAAATTTTGATTAACTTTGCTCCAGTATCTAAAACCAATTTGAGAATAATTGTACATTCTTTAATAGTACATGTACATGTACATAAAGATTGAATTTTGCTTTGGCTTCTAATGTGCATGTGTATAATAGTGCACTGGAGAATTGATAAATGAGATGTAAACACAGTCATTGTCTTTGTCATAAAAGCTGAAAGCCAATTTATCAAAACTCAAGAACGTTTTGTGAATTTTTATTGCATAACAACCTGACATGTAGTGATAAAAAATACTCAGGCATACTTTCATGATGTTTGATGGTGTATTAAAAACCTGGCATTTGAATATTTATATATATATATATATATTGGTTAACCATTTTTAATACTTCCCAAATAACGGCATCTTATGAAAATGAATATTAGTCCAGGTTAGTAGTGAAATTGAGAAAATAATGTAAATTTAAATGTTCTTTGTGGTTCTTTGCTACTGTTTAAAACAAGAGATGAATGCCTTGAGTTGATATTTATTCAATAGCGTACCAGTATACTTCATGTAGTTATAATTTGGGAGGTCCAAATATGGTAGTGACTATAGAACATCGATCACAAAACATGAACACCGAGTAGATGTAAGTAAATTTCATGCACCACTAAAGTTAAAAACAATGATCTATCCATTTAAATGTTGGAAATCTGTAATGTAATTGATATATACATGCATATCTCCTATTTAATATTCTCTATTTAAATATTTAGGAAAGTGGTAAGTATACATCTAAACTCAAATAAAAAAAAAAAACAAAAACAAAAACAAAAACAAAAACAAAGAGTATTTAAATACAAATTTGCAAAAGTAAAAAGATAATGATTACGAGTGAAGTTTGTTAAAGACTTGTTAGTTTGCCAAAAGACATCCACACACAAACAAATCATCCATATAAAACTGATTTTATAACATCAATCTGAGAAATTTGAACACCACTTTGAATTCTGTCCCAAGAAATATGTATAAAGTTTGGAATGTCTCAAGTTTTAATGATAATGTTTAATGAGCCACTGAAGAAGAAAAAAAAGTGCTCTGCAAAGGGCGTGGGTACGTTACCGTTTCATATGTACGGTGCATATTGAGTAAAAATATGATTATCTGTTTGACATCTGTTAATTGTACTGGTTAATATAAATTCAAAGATTAGTGAAATCCTACAATAATCACGACTGACAGAGAAAACAAAACAAAACAAAACAAAACAAAACAAAAACAAAACAACTGTCTCTTTCTAAATTCTTCATTAACAATTAATGATTAATATCAATTTAAAGATTAGTGAAGTGCCTACAACTATACAGAGATAACAAACAAAACAAAATAAAACAAAAACAAAACCATTGTCTCCTTCTGAATTCTATGTGAAGAAATCATTAAGGCTCCATGGATTGTACAATGTAAATCTTACCTTTTTAGGTTTTTTCTTTGAAAGCGTTAGAATAAAAGCCAAGAAAAAAAGATTCATACACGTCATAGCAACATGCAATACGGTATGCGAAGAAAAATAGTACACAACATATGATTTATGCCTTGAAATGATTTATACCATGGAATGGTAATGATTACATAAAAAATACAATTTCAGGGATCTTATGCTAGACATCAAGGTATTTTGCTTTAAATATTTTACTTGAAGGGGACTATTTGGTATGCCAAAGTTCAAGGAATATGACCGATTTCGAGGACTTAAATTACTTACATGTATTTGGTAATAAATAAATAAAGAAGAATGGTGACTAAATAATTGAGGTCTACAACCGCTATCTATACACTTCAAAGAAACAACAACAAAAATAATTGAATAAATTAATAAATTCTAATTCCGACTCATTCCCCAAGTTTGGATCCAAGATATTCATTTAAGATTTTTTTCAAACTGGCAAAAATAACTGTCAATACTGTTCAAAAATATAATTGGAATACAGAATTGAACATACCTTGGACTCGTCTTTCGGTAATGGAGGTGGCGCCGCAAACAAGTCATTGTCGTCGTCATCGTCCGCAAACAGCTTGTCACTGTCGTTCTTGGCGGTGGGTTTATCTGCGGGTCTGTCGTCACGAAAGAACCACGGGAAGGAAAGCATTTTTAATAAAATCCTCAAATATTTCCTTCATTTAAGGTAAATCCATTGAGATACTTATTGTAGATCACAATACATGCTTGTAATCAACAGTGGCTACTAGACTTTAATCCAAACAAAGCATTTTTTGCAGGTTTGTTTGTTTTGTGAGGACTTGCAAAATGATAGTGTTCATTGTTAATAGTTTACAATGCGATCAGTAATAGTTGCAAGAATAAACAAAGCAATTCCTTGTACTAGTTATAAAAACCTTGAACACAACAACAAATTATGAATTCTTTCAGTTTCTGGCACTGCAATTTCAAATGAAGGTTAAGCACTGACAATAGGGATTATATACCAAAATAAAGGAATACTAGTACGCAAAGTCAATCAAATTTTTACATATTTTTTATACAAGATTAATGGGGGGGGGGGCGGGGAGGTTGGGGTTCAATTAAAGTTTCCATTATTATTAATTTATTCCTTGAACTAATTTGTGATCGTTTCCATATTGATGTATTTGTAATTTCTCTTTATTTCTTTGAACTTTGTAATCTTTGTTTGTATCAGTCTCCCAACTGTTTTAACATGGAATTTTGACTCAATAAACCAAAATGAATGAATGAATGAATGAAAATGTTCAACATGTCAATAAATTCTTTGGCAAAATCTCAATCATCACTTCCCTATCAAAGCTATGATTCATCCATCTGCACATGTTTTAATATGTATATCGCATGAATAATATAGGGAAAGGTGTGTAATGGCTGTTGAGCCATTTGCACCTTGAGGATAGGTTATTTGCATTCATGGTTAATTAGATAGTACAGTTTTAAGGAGGTTGTATTTTAGTAAACATTGTTTGTTTGTTTGTTGTTGTTGTTGTTTTTTTTTTTTTGTTTTTTTTTTTTTTTTTGGGGGGGGGGGGGGTTAGGGGGTATATGTACATATATATTACATACAACACCGTGAATCACAACCTTTATTATCATAATCATAATTATCATCATCATCACCACCTCCACCACCACCACCACCATCCTCTTCTTCATCCTCCTCCTCGTCATCATAATGAACAGAGCAACAAGACCAAGCTCTGTAATTATTAGGATCTCTGTCCAGTAGTGCCGTGTTTGTGCCATCGAACTGGATCGACCAAATGCAATATTTTTCCCGTAACATGAGAGTAATTTTAATAGTTTCATACTACTAATTAAATGTAATGTTAACTGTTATTGTATAATTGTTTTAAATGGGGGCACGCTACAAGAGTCCTATCTCGCACCCCGGGGCAACGTGTCTGACACGGCCGGTTGTAGCAACTACTCCGAAGATCAAGATTACATTAATCTTGATCTAAGGAGACACGAACGAACGATCATCATAATCACCACCTCCACAACCATCATCATTATCATCACCATCATTATCTTCACCACCACCACCACCATCACCACCACCATCACCACCACCACCACCACCATCATCACCACCACCAGCACCACCATCACCACCACCACTACCACCATCATCATCAACTCCACCACCACCATCATAGTTACCTTGGAGGCGGTGCACCAAAGAGATCCTCATCCACATTATCAAACAAGCCTCCTCCTCCTAGCCCTGCCTGCTTGCTCCTCCCTGCTCCTGCTGCTCCCACCATAGTATTGACATACATTCCTTCATCCCCACCGTCGTCAAGGGGAGGCGGTTCCGTCTGACCTCCGACAGGCCCCGCGTTACCGAAAACATTCACAGCACCCGCAGGAATCTGGAGCGAATTAGAGGTAGCCAATATGTCAACCTTAAATGTCCCAATCATAAAATGGATAATGGATAAACATTCTACACAAAGCCAATAATTTCTACGACAGATCTTTGTAAAAACCTGTCATATTCTCTTTGAATGTACATATTGGAATGTGAAGTGATCAGATGTTGCAAATGTGTGTTTAATTGAACTTTGAACTTGTTTCTTTCACAAGAGATATTTTATAACAGCATCAATATTCAATGACATTCTATCCAGCCACTTGATCGGAATGAATACGAGAAACATTTCCTTTAAAAGATGTTACAATGTAATGGGCACTACATGTGTGAAAATTCAGTTTCCTGTTCATGCCTTTGAAGGCCCTATACTTCCTTTTTTCACTCAAGGGGGAAACTATCAAAAAGTATCAAACCTTTAGCCTATTTACACCTAACACAGAGCTTTACAATAGCCTCAAAGTGACACACCAAACAGTGGCTCACTCGCACGCAAGTCACTAGATCACGCAAATATCGCAAGCCTAAAATTTTCACAATTTGGCACTAGTTCAGAAATGTGATTTTCACAATTCTTTGTCGAAAGGGATGTCAATCCATTCTAAAATTAGAACCTGCTTAAGCAAAGCTGTGAGAGTGCTGGTAATTATAGCGACAAATAAAGGAGGAAAAGAGGAAATTCAAGTTTGAAAGAGTCTAGGTGTGATTCAGAGGGGACATCGGTTGATGAATAGGACACCTAGGGAGGGAGAGAGAGGATGTATTCAAGGAAAAAACAACTGATCAAAGTTTCAGATTCATAAGGAAACCTCAGTTTATTAAAGAATACGGTATACGTGCATGCTTATGCAGCACAATTGCAAGAATTGTAAGTACTTATGAAAATTTGTCAAGGTGATTCAGCAATAATCTTTCTACACTAACTGAACTCCTAACTTTACCCAACACCAACAAATATATCTAACAGTTAAACACTAACCATAATCATAACCCTAAACTTGATATTGAATTCCAATCATCACTCTAACATTACTATCTTTAACAAACTGGAACATGTAGTAAATGTCACATCATTGTATTTATTACAATCTGCAGTCTTTTATCTAGATCCTGAATATCGTAAGCACCCTTTTATTATTATTATTATCATTATCAATATAAAAAAAAAACACCTACCTTTTTCTTAGGTGGTTGCTTAGGTTTGTTCTCACCCCCGAACAGATCACTGGCATCCTCCCCACCAAACAGATCCACCTGCTTCTTGGTCTTGGGCTTGCCGGCTTCTATTTAATTGACACAATCATCATCATCATCATAAAGTGTTCATTTATAATGTACGCACATTCATCCATAAGGCATCTTTTCAGAGCCTGAAGGCACTAACAACTCTGTGTTTCGGTATATGAGTTGAAAATAATGTCCTTCTAGCTCCAAACAGACGACGGATGTTTACACGCTTAACAAAACGATGATACACTGTATCATCATTCATAGACTTTGCTTTGGAGAACAATTGTGACCCATCCTCCCACAACCCCATTGCCATGTACTTCATTTTTTGATTTGCAAAATGTAGACCTTTAATATACCCACTTAAATAAGATCACATATGGTCCTCTTAAACCTCTTAAACCTTACTTCGCACACAGTTTTATTTTTCATCCCTTTATAGCCTAAATTTGTAATGCAACAAAGCTCATTTAATCTAAAACGATACAAGCTACCAATAGAAAAGCTGTACCCCTCCCATTTTTGAAATTGTGGAGGAGGGAGGATGTTAAATTTGATATTACTCATTAAGGATGTGCTTCACATCTACTTCAGATTGAACATCATTCAAACCTGAGAAAAGATAAAACAAAAACTAAACAATATTAATCATTATTGTAGAGAGAATCTTGTTAATATAATTAGGAAGAGAATCAAAGAGAATTGGAAGAGGTACCTTTCTTAGGAGCTGGTTTAGAAGATTCAAAGAGTCTGTCGTCTCCCTGGCTACCAAACAAACCCCCGGAAGATGAATCGTTTGGTTTGGAAGCTTCCTGTCAAGTAAAATAGACAAATACAAGAAATATGCTTACCTAATCCTTGCAAAGACACCTGGGGAGTGTTTCACAAAGACTAAGATCGACGTTAAGTCAGACTTAACTATGGCAGGCCATTCACGCCACTGGTTCCTCTAAACATTCCTAGCATTGGTTTATCAACGGATGTTCAAATCATGGTCACAAATCTACAGAATTTACCTTTTTTGTTAGTTCATTATTGAAATTTAAAATATTATCTAAAGATCATAATTGAGAGACCAATGGTGAGAGCAACCAGTGGCACGAACGGCCTGCCATAGTTAAATCCAACTTAAAGTCGAACTTGGTCTTTGTGAAACACCACCCTGATTTAATACATAGCACATATAATCAACATGATGGATATGTTTAGAATAAGTTAGTCAAAGGTAGAACCATATAAAACATTTGCTTCCATTAATCACTCAAGATAAGAAGCACTACAGAATTCATCGAAAATCTTCACCTCTTTTTCACATAATTCATCTTATACTTTACAAGCATGTTGTTTTCAATAAAGATAATGTAATGAGGAGAAACTAAATTTCATAACTTTATTGCTAAAGAAACAATTACATTTTAATCACAAAAAGAACTTTGAAGGAAGAAAGTACAAAAAAGATCTTTTATATAGCATAACAACAAAGATTATTTCTAGAAAAAGGTGGACTCTACATTTGTTATTCTTTAAACCTGATAAGCCTCTTCACCTAAAAAGTGCACATAAATACACATTTTTTAAACATTTTATCAAAGATGCAATATTATAATCATATGCTTTAGTACAGTGTACCTGAATCCGACTAGAGCGATGAAATCATTAAAAAGGTACACTAGCAAACGGCCCCAATATCTGAATGCCCACACATATTTCAATGTCACTCTCATTCTCTAAAAGATCTCTCTTTCTTGTCCTTTTACCCTAAAACTTAAACCGTCATCTGATAAAATCTTACTTAAATCAAGCCTGTCACTGCCTATAGAGTCATAACACAGATGGGGGAAGAGAATGTGTCAATTTGGGGACAAAATCTGCCCAAGTTGGCAACCCTTTTCCTTGTGACGCACGACCTCATGAGACCCGATGATGATCCATGGACTAATTACTCAAGCTCTGAATTTAAGCCTGGTCTAATTAGGGATTAGGCAAATCTTTAAAAAAAAGAGTTTCCCCCAAAATGGTGGAGGAGGGAAATAATCATAGAAAAGTTGGTTTCCTAAAAGCTGCCAAGTAAATGTGGACATTTAAGAAACATCCATGTTTCCAAGTTGTAGATTTCACATACGGAACATGAGTACAGCACTTGTCTTGTGAAAGATCGACTATGAAGCCATTTGACAATTGTAAATCTTAATGACTAAGTTGCCTGTTTGCTAAACTGAGTTTGCTCTACTTAAAATATTTTGATGTCTGGACGCTGGAGAACTTTAATAGACTAACACTAATGTTTCCTATTGACCATTTAAAATGCGATCATTTTTATATTTCAAATATTTAGGCAATGCAGTAATTCATAGGACCAATTAATTGTTTGCAAAGGTTTCTGACCACATTGTATATATATATAGATATATAAGCTTACAAGGAACATTTCATTTCAGGAAATGGTCATCACTTTTTAAAGAAGTTTATTTGTAATTTAGAAGTGTAATTGTGATAATATTTCATAATCTCTGATGATTCATGACTATTCAAGATGAAGTTAAAGAAACAAATCCAAACCTTTTGGCCTATATCTTGAGCAATAGCATCCTCTGGCTGTTAGGTGCACAAAGTGCAAGGAGTAGCCATGATGGACAAAGATATGAATCAATATGGAACATACAGTATGGAGACAGTGTACAGGTGCATTGAGTGAAAGGAAGATATGTTGTAAGTAAGAAAGAGAAAGAAAGAGAAATGAACAGAGAAAAAGATGAAAAAGACAGGCATAACATATGTAGAGAGAGAGAGAGAGAGAGAGAGACAGAGAGAGAGACAGAGACAGAGAGAGAGAGAGAGAGAGGCAGAGAGAGAGAGAGAGAGAGAGATACAGGCAGAGAAAAGTAGACAGAGATATAACCAAACAGATACAGAAAGAGAATGATAGGGGGGGGGGGGTACAAAGAGAAAGGATGAAGGAGGGATATAACAATTAAGATATGCAGAGATTTAAACAAATGACGAAATAGTAATGGAAGTTTGAGCAAAAGAGTTATAATACAAGAATAGTACACATCACAACAGAAGAGCAGGTTCACCAGATACAAGAAGAACAGTGTTCAAAAGTTAAAAATATTTTAAAAAGGGTGGAAATGTAGAGAGGGAGATGAATATTCACAGAAGTTAAAGGATGATATGAATATTCATAGATGTAACAGCATGATATGAATTGAACGAGACAAATATGATGAGAGAGAAAGAGAGAGAAAAGGAAGAGGAGAGAAAGGAAGACAAAACAAGTTAATATTCTAGGAAAGCCCACAATCATGCACATGCATACTAACACAGCAGGATTAAAATATCTGTCAATCTGAGAAAAACAATTTGATTTTAATACTAGATTTATTCCTCATCATATGAAAGGAAAAAGAAAACAGCATAGCATTAATTTTCCAAACTGCTATTACACTAATAATCTCTAATGAATAAAATTGTTTTGATCTTTCAAAATTAAATAACATAACTTTAATGGTTATAAGATAATACTCTATAAAAACTTATGGCAGGCAATTTTCTCAGTTTTTTAGAAAATTGGTTTATTTGACATACAGTAGAGTGAATTTTGTCTTTTTAGTTTAATTCAAAAAATGGCTTAAACATGCAACTTTTGATTGGAATGAATTATTTACCATGCAAAATCACACGCCCAAGCCATGTTAATAAACAACGATGCTAAATAAATCAAAAGAGCATGAATATATAGCCAGTTGTTAAGACAACAAAATCCCCCCCCCCCCCCCCCCCCCCCCCAAAAAAAGGACAATTTTATACCAGTATGCTAATATTACAGATCTGGCATTCTTGAACTTTGGAGTTTTTTATTTTATTTAGTTGAAACTTTAATAAAGGCCCTATATTTTCCACATCACATTCTATGAAAAACATCATATGGCCCATTCAAACACACTAAAAAAAATATATTTGGTGCAAAAAAAAATTTGCACTACGATGGCTTTGTGGTCTTACAACAAAATTATCAGTTAAATTCATGGATTTGAAACTCAAGAAAATATTTATCTACAAAAATGGGCAAAAAGTCTAAAGAGAGATTGGATTACAAGAAACATAAAGTAGCGGGATGGAGGGAGAAAGAGGGAAGGAAAGAGAGAGAGAGAGAGAGAGAGAGATAGGGAGGGAGAGAGAGAGGGATTCAATCCTTTTACAAAGTTCCTACAGTATTGTTAACTCATAAAATGAAGCAGTTTTCTTCCCCTTAAAACCCTAAAAAGTAAAAACCATTGGCATTAAGTACATTATTGCATGAAATAATGAACTATAGAATAGCTAATGATAATACATCTTCGAACCTGAACTAAAATCATTGAATAACTGACAAGTTCTTTTTAAATAAATTGGTATTTTTGTTAGTGGACAATGAATCAACACGTTTTAATATGATAGTATATATGGGGTAACAAGGTGGAGTGGATGTTCGCATGCAAACTTGAATTTAATGGAGGACAAATCATCAGTGTTGCCAATTTGAGAGGATTAACGAACGCCCAGCCATGCAATGGTTAATGGACATGAAAATGAAAGCGAGTCGTCACAATTGATTCTTGTGCAGGGTGCAAGATATGCAAGTCTTCTGGTCATTTATAAAGACGAAAGCACCAAGTCTCAAAAAATATCCTTTCTTCATGGACTTTGAGCAGTTCAAGTATCGTGTGAAGAAATGCGTTTGGAGCAACGAAATGCTGCGTATGGTTGCATCATGTGATGGCGTGCTTCGTACATTCCATCGGCATGCCAAGCTTGGTACGTGAACTCACCGCACTGCCTCTACGGGTCATAGCCGCAGAGCATGCGCGCAGCAGGAGGGTTTTCTGGAAGAAGCAATGGCGTGTTTGCGGAAAAGGATATCAATCGTTGGAGAATTCACAATAAATTCATACTCATGACCGATTCAAATATATCCCTTTTTGAACATTGATTATCTTACAAATTGATGTACTGTATTGATCTATCCTGTGTACAGGATGGTAAAAAAAGGACATTGTCTCCCTTCAAAATATATATATATTTGGAACCTTGATGAAAAGCTGATTTTGTAAATGAAATGACGAGACTGACCTCCCTACTCAAGACTTTCCATTTCAAAATGGTTGCTTTTCATTTGGTAGACTTATCCTTTTAAAACCTCTCTCATGGATAAAATATATGTATTGATGGTTGAAAAATATGGACATTTATGTCTGAATGGCTGTGATATAGATGTTATTAGAGTGAGCTAAAAAGACATTCATAGGCCAACACTTCACTTTGGACGCTTGTAGTAAATGAAAACACGGAATATACAACCAGCCCCTAGGAACCTAAAACTCTAGCGAGGTCAAGTCCTGGAAATTTCACATCAATTATTCAAACCATCTTATCTTTGTGAAAGAGTATAAAATCTGTGATGAAACTAATTGAAATCTTTTCCCAGTCTTACTTCAAACCCCCTGGCAGATTGAGTAACAATGAAAACTCAGATTTCCCCAATGAATTCACATGTGCAGAACTCTCAGAGCAAATATGTACTGCATGTGACTGTATTAAAGAAAGTGGGTTTCATGCAAACATCCTTACTTTTCAACACAATTTGTTTAACTTAAAAAGTAATCAAATACTAAATTCCCTGACCTGGCATCCTACTTGTTCTGTTTTCTGCTTGTAACAGAGTTTGGGAGGAGTATATTAAAAAGAGGTGCCTTATAGCAATTCAAACAAAGATTTTATTACTGGGCATACTTGCATCATGTAGCTCCATTTTATCAGTGTCCTACCAATGGAAATTGATTGATTGATTAAGATCCCATATTCCAATGCAAATCTCTCTGTAAAATATCAATCAAAAATTAAATTCTCATATACCGGTACCTATCATGCACTTTGGGAGAAACCTGGCAACCTTAGAATGGCAAGAGAAATCCGATCAACATCACATCTGGAAAAAAATTCCATTACAAAAAGATTTTATACCCCCCCCCCCCTAAAAAAAAAAAAAAAAAAAATAAGTTCCCCCCCCCTTTTGTTTGGGGGGGGGAGGGGTCCTTCCTTCTTCATGCTTTTTTGAGAGTCAAACCAACTTTTTAGAATATTTACAAAAGCTTTTGCTTTTTTGTTACTTTAGTATTTTAAATCATTCAATTTATTCTGATGTCTTTAAAAATGCATTTTCAGACCAGATTATAAACTGTTAAAGGGGGGAAATCCAGAAGAAAAACAGAGTAGTAATTTTCTGGATAAACCAAAATCTAGAAATCACTAGATGGCCAATTAACATGATGGATCAGGATTTGTCACGATTTGCCACTCCGGGGTCCCACAGGGTTACATCTTCTGATCTCTAAGATCCATACCTGGGTATCTCGTTTGCAGTTGCCACGGTTACGCACTAGACTTCTTTGCTATCGGTTGATAAGGGGATGGAGGAGGAGGAGAAGGGTGGGGAGCAAATGGTAGTTTTAAATGTGAACGAGTAGAACTGGAGAGGGCGACAGAGAGGTTATGCAATGCGTAAAAAATGGTTATTAGTATACTCCTGGCCAATGTCACACTAATATGGAGTGAGAGCTGAAATGGTGAGTACAGGTTATGTGATATTAAGTCAGACGTGGGTAGAGTTCTTTTTTAAGTAGTAAATGCATGATGCCTCCAGTTTAGAAAAAAGAATATCATAAGAAATGTTTATACGTTTGTTTCTAGCATTCTTCTGTGGTTAAAGTTTACACAGTTAAAAAAAAATGAATTAATTCCAAATGTAATAGAACCCGGTAATAGGATGACCAAGGATTACATCTGAAAGTCATATTGCTGAAAACTATTCTATGGAAAGTGAAAATTTATATTATTCTTTAAAGACTAAAATTTGTAACTAAAGTCACAGAATACTCCGACTGAATCAGCGTATTAACATAGAAACTGCCCATAAGTGAAAAGCTGATTTCAGAGGAAATATAAAGAGGTGAATTTCCTTCTTATATCTAATGATTTCCCACAATTCATTCTGCTCAATACTTGAGAATTGTAACTGACGACAAATATTAGTTCACAAAATATATCTGTCTTTCTACATCATTCAGAAAAATAATATGAAATGCATACTACATGTAGCTTTTACATATTTCAACAATGAACATTACTCAATTTGGGACAGTTTCACCTATACAATCAAGATCTAGTAGGTCATAAACTCATACTTAGACATCAAGCTAATTATCTTTTAGCTCTCTGACTCTGCAGGGAAGTATTGGGTTTAATACTGGTTTCTAACGAGAACCAACCAGCATGTTGTATCTAGAGAGCCAAGAGGGTGTTAAAACACAGGAAAACCCTTCTGGTTCTAAGAAAAAGATTTCAAGGTTTAGTCTTCAAAAGGTGATTGCATCAAAATTTTTCACTGAACAATGGATTTCATAATACGTAACCTTCTGTTTGGAATCAGAAGGACATTGAGTCAAGTGTTTTAACTTGGAGCTAATGCCTTTCGGGCATCAAACATACGATTATTTCCATTGTTCTGCTGTCATCTCCTTGGAGAAGACATTACATTACACAACAGACATCAAATCAAGGCTTACAAAATGAGAAGCCATTCTCTATCTTTCTGGAGAGGCTAAATGATGCCTTGGAGTGGATTATCCTGGGTAATTGGTTTGTAAACCCCGGTCCGATGCATGATCCTGTGCTTTGTTTCTAAAGAGGTACCTGGATGTTGAGCAATGATCTAAGTGTCATAGGCTGCGTTTATCGACCAAATTTTTGGCAAGAATCAGGTTTCTCAAACGTCTTTCAGGCAAATTTAGGAGCTGATAAACGCAAAGCCTTTTTTAAAGGGCTTCAGATATGGGCATATCTAAAGACGCAAAAAGGTGTGTTTTGTATGTGACATAAAGCCAGAATCACGTTTCTGAGAGATCGATAAACGCAAAGTTGTTTTGAACCTCATATACAAATAGGACCACCCAGGTGTTGTGTACAAGCATGTGTGTGAAGTTGACCTCCGAGAAACTATCTGCTTCCCAGGTCAAAACAGCTGGGCAGACACAAGGCCTTTATTTTGAATCGTGAAGGGAAGATAAACGCGACATCCGGCAAATCACGATCGTATAGTTGGGTACGATAGTGGGGTTCAATAGTGGGGTACGATAGTGGGGTTCAATAGTGGGGTACGATATGTACATATCTAGTGGCAAGCCCCGCTAAACGCGCCCATAAAAAGATCAGAGCCATCTCTTTAGGCATCTCTTGAAGACAATGTCAAAGGATGTATCCATACCGTGGACTTTCAGACCAAATAGTTAGCAACATTCCACTGTTCACATGGAATGAGATCTTGTGCTGCATTTCTCAACACACTAATAAATATGATCCAACATATACTCCTTGCTTTAGTGGTTTCTGACACAAATCCTAAGCTTTGTTTCTAAGAGGTGCCTGGATATTGAGCAAGGGTCTCTATACAAAGATCAGGGCCATTCCTTTGCCGAGAATGATCCAGGCTGCATCCACACAGCTGATTTTTAAACCAAACAGTCAATCAAATTTCATTCTCCATATGGTGCAAAATCTCAGACTGTGTAATTTAATATTAAAAAGTAAAAACAAATTTGTTCTACCTTAAGCAAATTCTATCCAAACAGGTTAATATATAATTAATTCATGTGATCCAGTTCTTGAGAAGTTGTCTCCAACTTTGATATGAGAAAAATTGAGGGTTAAGACTTGGACTGTGATTGTGTTTTTGTTTGGTTTAGGGAAGGGTATAGTGTTTGGCAAAGAATTTAAGTTAGAAATTTGATTTGATTGGTGTTTAAATTAGCCAGTGAGGAACTGTCGCCAGAGCACACATACAATCGCTGATATATCCCATACTGCATGAACAGTGAAAATGCCACAGATTCAATGTCTGTACAAACATCTTGATGTGCTGCTCAGAAACAATGCATACAAATCTCACATTGTATCGAACAGTAAATCAAGATTAGAATAAAACCTGATGGAGTTCACCTATAAAAGACAGAAAGGACAAGATAATCTTCCAGGGATCTTCGCCTAGAACATAATGACATATTACACTATGAACAGGGCTTAAAAAGGAATCCATCATTGTAATTACACAATAATCTTTTGTAAGAGATTGACATTTACAGGACATTTCTGTTTATATTTGACTTTTATGACATAAAAGGAACTGTTTGGGTAGCTTTTTAAGTCATGAAAGATGTATAATGAAGCAACCGTCAGTTATATGACAGCAAAAAGATATATGGTATAGATTAATTAGCAAACAGGTGTCAAATATATAGGCTCCTTACAGCTAATGAAAAATATTTTGATGCACATAAAGTTGGGTTTCACAATATCAAGTGACAAGTACTTGCATGACGTAAGCACAGTGGGCAACAAAGTAGGGTAATAAACATGTGTATTATATTGTGCATGGTATATATCATAATGTTCTGGAAAATATGGATGATAAAAGCTATACTCTAGTTGCTAGTTGCTAGTAATAGTGCTTTTGACCCTTTTGAGTATTTGTTAAGCCATTGCCATTGGAATTTTCTCATTCCCATAGGCTTAATACAGGATCCAACTGGTTCCAATTGGCAATGGGTTAAACCATTGTCTACTGAATTATCTCATTCCCATTGGCTTAATACAGGATCCATCTGGTTCCCATTGGCAATGGGTTAAGCCATTGTCTACTGAATTATCTCATTCCCATTGGCTTAATACAGGATCCATCTGGTTCCCATTGGCAATGGGTTAGCCCATTGACTACCAAATTCTCTCATTCCCATTGGCTTAATACAGGATCCAACTGGTTCCAATTGGCAATGGGTTAAACCATTGTCTACTGAATTACCTCATTCCCATTGGCTTAATACAGGATCCATTTGGTTCCCATTGGCAATGGGTTAGCCCATTGACTACCAAATTCTCTCATTCCCATAGGCTTAATACAGGATCCAACTGGTTCCAATTGGCAATGGGTTAAACTGAATTACCTCATTCCCATTGGCTTAATACAGGATCCATTTGGTTCCCATTGGCAATGGGTTAACCCATTGACTACCAAATTCTCTCATTCCCATTTGGTTCCCATTGGCAATGGGTTAGCCCATTGACTACCAAATTCTCTCATTCCCATAGGCTTAATACAGGATCCAACTGGTTCCAATTGGCAATGGGTTAAACTGAATTACCTCATTCCCATTGGCTTAATACAGGATCCATTTGGTTCCCATTGGCAATGGGTTAGCCCATTGACTACCAAATTCTCTCATTCCCATTTGGTTCCCATTGGCAATGGGTTAGCCCATTGACTACCAAATTCTCTCATTCCCATTTGGTTCCCATTGGCAATGGGTTAGCCCATTGACTACCAAATTCTCTCATTCCCATAGGCTTAATACAGGATCCAACTGGTTCCCATTGGCAATGGGTTAAACCATTGACTACTGAATTATCTCATTCCCATAGGTTTAATACAGGATCCAACCGGTTCACATTGGCAATGGGTTAAACCATTGACTACTGAATTATCTCATTCCCATAGGCTTAATACAGGATCCAACCGGTTCACATTGGCAATGGGTTAAACCATTGACTACCAAATTATCTCATTCCCATAGGCTTAATACATATTCAAAGTGGTTTCCATTGGCAATGGGTTAAACCATTGACTACTGAATTATCTCATTCCCATAGGTTTAATACAGGATCCAACTGGTTCCCATTGGCAATGGGTTAGCCCATTGACTCCTGAATTCTCCCATTCCCATAGGCTTACTACAGAGCCTGCCCAGTTCCCATTGGCAAAGGGTTAACATGTTCACAATCAGAATTTCAGAGGTGGACAATAGGAGTTATACTTAACTACTACTTTTGACTAAACCACCTTTGCATATCAATGTCCTAGCTACTCACCCCTTCTTGACTCAGTTTAGGTGACCCGCCAAAGAGCTCATCCTCAGTGGCTCCGCCGGCACCAAACAGAGGTACGCCCCCTGGAGGTGCTTTCCTGCCAGGCTTGACCTCTTCAGGGTTGGCTATAGAAAATGAAGAAAAAGAGAATAGTAAAAAGTGAGTCATTATTTTGTTTCCAATTCAATCCAATTTCATTTATTTTCCATTAAAATTCAAAATAAACAATACATAACAATTGAAACAGCAAAATCAGAAGGACCCCAAGATAAGCAAAGCTTGTGGGAATGGGGCCCTGTACCAAGAAAAACATACAAGCAAATTATAAATAACAAATTATTGTTATTATTGCAAGATGTTTTTATTCCTTGATTGTTCATTGTCTGAGTTAAGTCGAGTTGAGTTCAGAAGAAACTATGTAAGTCCTTACTGTATGATAATGTCTTTTTTGTAAAGATAACGTTCAAATCTTGAGACATGGTCTTGAGATACTTTAGACCAATACCTCAAGGAGAATGAGTGACATCCCTGCTTCTGCTTCGAGACATGTCTGTCTGCTTGAACGACAACATAATTTCACTGCTCCAGCGACATTTTCTGTGAGGTCAATTCAATTTCCTACATTGTCTTATATAAATCCAAACTTCAAGCCTGGACCAAACAATATACTGAATCTGAATACTAAAACTCTAAACCTATAAAATCAACCCCCAACCACTTGCATCCATAGCCCTAGCCCTCATTCTTTGACAGAATGAAAACCTGCAGAAAATGTCGCTGATGAAAGCATTGGGTCAATGGTCTTCCAGGTTTCGATCTTGAAGTGTCAAAGCTTGGATGTACCATAAATGCACCATTCTTACCATCCCAGTAAGCTACATAACTACTTGGCTGTCATGGCAACTAAAGCCTCTACAGCAGCTCTACCATTCATTACAAAGCTACATTATTTGGCTGTGATGGCACTAGTTGGCTTAGATAATTTGATTAACTTGAAAGTACATGTAAGTACATTTTGGTTGACCCTGCCAAGTATTCAGGTGGATTTAGCAACTTAGATTTTTGCCACTGTTGAATATCATTCCATGCAATATTATCTGTTTATAGCCAAAAGTGGACTTATTCTGTGTTTTTACGATCTGTGGGCCTTTGCAGAATATATGATCAGTAATATGATACAGTAAATTGAAGTTTGAAGTTCAAAAGGATGCGATAGTCACCAACTCAAGATTTCAAAAGGCAATGATGTGTAGGAATATCAATGAAATACTTCTTAAATGCCTCTTATATATGTGAGTGGAAAGTATCACATCCTGATAATGAACGATAAACAAAAATTACCAAAGATATAAACAAAACAAGAAACAAAGAAATGGTGAAAATAGATACAGAGATATGAATACTGGTATAGACACATTCTTACGATAAAGGTAAGGGAATTCACAATAGAATGAGGTCGTGGAGAAGCGTTCGAGGGGCACAGTTTTCCTTCTCAAGTTGAGATTGCCCATTGTCCAAGCGAGCAGAGATACCATTTACATCCAAGAATTGAAAGAAAAACTAAAACACGAAATGAGGGAACTTTGGTTCTTCACAAAATGTCGAGTGTCCCAGGCACCAAGTAACAATGAAAGACTTCTCCTTTAATACAAAGCATAGAGTAATATTCTCAGAGGAGGCTCTATGATATGATCCATAATGATGTGGTGATAAAAGAACAGCCTGAGAGAAGATATCTTCAAAGGTGACAAGGTCCTAGGGTACTTCCACTTTTCCTCGGAAGCGACGATGACAGATGATGCACTCCATGACGAGCATGTCACTCAAATGTTCTACCCAAAAAAGACTTTCGCAAAATTATGCTCTTCCTACTGGAGATGCATGAATATCAACACGAGAGTAGGTCTAAATGATATCAATTATCGGTTAGCTGAAAACTAATACAATGCCATGTCACTTCGTCATTGGGAGACTATGAAATGATAGTCGGAAACATGATCATGAGACACGTACATGATTGAATTTGAGACACCGATGTGTTCATGCAAAAAAAGTTTGTGGTGCTGAGTTTCATCAGGGGACATTACTGCTAAACTAATCCCAGATTTTGTCGCTTCTCATATCTCGTCTATCTATCAACGACCCTCCCAAATTTGCTTATGTTCTCTTTAGCGGTTTCCCCCACTATTCGTAAACTTAAAGGCCGCTGGTCGGAAACCTGAGGCTCATAGGCCTTCTTCAGTGAGTCTTTGAGAGGGGGTTTGTTAGCAGATCAAGGTACATGGCCAGTCAATTCGGGATCCTACTCCTACAGTAGTTGTATGTGATATAAAACAATTATTACTCATCCATCGTGTCAAGTTTGATTGTCGAGACTATTGATGTCCGTGGTTTCTTTCTGACTTGTCTCGCTCTTGACCCACTGGAAGCTACTGGTAACGGCATTCAAGTTAAAACTTTCACTAACGATGTCTCCGTAAGAAAGCTTATTAATATTCTAAAGTCTACCAGTATTCAAAGTATTATTTCAAAGAAATTATGAGTACAAGGACAGATCAGCTGAAATTTATTACGGTATACTTCACATTTGGATGCCTTTAACAAAATATTTAACAAAAGATCTAGAGAAATTCTCACATATCGTTAAGAGATGAGATTCATCCATGGTATGACTTATGAAATGTAATCCTTTTAATCTAGATTTACTTAAATTCAGCTTTCATCATTTAATAACTAGCAATTAATTCCTTCTTCCTCCACCCCCAATATTGATAGTGAAACAAAAAGTCTGATGTTTCACATCTCTCTGATAAGAAGAGACTTTACTGAATTTCAGCAGAATTCTAAATGAACATAGTCATAATAATGTTTCATCACTTCTTCACTTTCAATTTTAGAGGATCAAGTTGAAACTCGTAAAAAGACAAAATTCCAATGATCTACCTTAAATAACAATTTCCCTTTCATATCTTGAGCCATTCTAACTGGTAATGATAGTGCAGGAATCTAACAATTTACACCTTTTCTCCTTTTTTTTCTCCTAATAAAAAGAGAAAAATAATAGCATGATAATTTTGAATGTGCAAATACAAGCCATGACTAATAGGAAACGATTGAAGCGATTCGCCAGCTGGCTCACAAACTCACCGTGAGAGTTGCATCAAATTTAGCACGCTATGGTGCGAGAGGGGAATCCGATTAAAATCTGGGGTAAAAACAGGGAAATTAGGGCAAGAACTATGGGGACCCTGGGTGAACGGTTTAGAGGGACCGCAAAGGTTCACGGTAATTCACTTGGACATGAATGTTAGTAGAATACATTGCTTGGATCATGTTTCCAACCACAAGGACTGACAAATTCACCGTTTTAGAACAATGGTTTGACAAATAATGAGTAGAAAAAACATTCTTGCACACGCAGTGATAATCCCTTCGTTTTATAATTTGATTGTGAGTTAACATGAAACAAATCAATCCATGACTCAGTACGCAACCTGAATACAAAATTTAAACATTTTAATTTGAGTTGGTCGTGACTGACTACAATGTTTGGAAGGCCTACGATTACCAGGTTAGCTGTCTATCTAAATTTGGAAAGATTGGTTTACTGTAATTTATTAAAAGAAAAACTGTAGACCATTCAAATGGGGTTAAATATGGAAAACTTTTGCATTTTAAAAATGCATCGTAGTATTTTTAAAAAATGACATTCAATGTTTTGCATACATGGGTAATTGACATTAAGCACCAGTTACCATTTTTTTCATATATCCTTGTAATTATCTCTCCACAGTTGAAACTTCACATACATTTACAAATGTCATGGTGAGAATTCAAAATGAACTTTCAATTTTTCTTGTAAATAATACTATCATTCAAATGATCAAACTGCTCCTGGTGCATTGACATTTTCAATGCAGCTTTTTAATTGATTCACAAGGACTTGGCAGAAAATCTTGAAATATAACACAAAAAAGATATTGCATACACTGGAAGTCTCTTCCCCCTCATTTGTATAAGTCATAACAGCCCAGATATTAACCAATCAGAACTAAGCCAACTAGTTAAACTCATAAGATATTAACGATTTCTACTTTGAGGGGATTTGTTCCTTGAATCCATATGATCTCTCACAATGGAATTAATTACAACAAGATTCGCTCTACCCGAGAACTGCAAGGGGAAAGCAGACAATGATAAAACTTTGAATGGTATTGAAGCTAAAGCCAGCGTGAAGTGGAGATTCTACTTGTGATTGAACTCCATAGTTAGGTCCACACCACACTCCATTAACGTTAAGTTCAGATCATGGTTTTAAACTTCAGAGTTATCTTGTAGTTAGAGCGGTGTGGAAACACTTGTGGTTTAAAACATTTTTTGTTAGTTCACTCAAAATTATAATACACACACGATAAGATTAGCACAATATACATCCAAGCAATTGGAGGGAGGGGGGGGGGGGGACATGTCCCCACTCGAACTCCTTACTTGAAGTTACATGCCGTGCAGATGCAAATAACTTCAAGGTTACATCACCTTGTAGTTAAAATTAGTACTTTCCCCAGTTTGCAGTTTCGAACTTTAAATACATGGTCCTGTGTAAACCCTTAATTTTAGTGGAACATTTAGTGGATGTTTCGTTAACCATCTTAAGTTTAAGACAAGAACAGTCTTGTGCGAACACAACCATTGTCTTACAAGGGGAATTGTATGCTGCTCTTCGAATGATCCAGTATTTCAACAAGAATGAGGAGAGCTTTCAAGAGGCGAGATCAATTAGCGTAATTCCTGTTACTCCCAGGGAAATCCAAATGAAGTCCCGGCCCACAACCCTCGCACACTACCCCCACAGGTGATCGCACTGGCCTTGAGTCAGCTTTCCAGAGGAAGACGCCAAAGCCTTCACGTGGGACTGCACTTTGCACGTGCCCCTGATGGACATGAACTAGCGGCTCACGTTGTGCGAAGGGCCTCCCAGGTCTTCTTTCAAAGAACTAGAACTTTTTTTTCTTTTTGACCTCATCAATCTCATCATCAGTAAAGGATCTATTAAAGCTTCACGTTACATCACATGATACAAGCTATTAAACTGGACATGATCACCATTAATATCTGATTCAATTGA